GTTGCATCAAGGTCCCAAAGATGATTTTGTTATTTGATGTTCTTTGATATGAGCATTTTCGGGTTCCATGTTGAATTTGGGAGGGGTGTCCTCATTTTATATAAGAGCACATCTGGCCTTAAAATCGGAAACTGAGGCAGGGCGCAGATGTTCTGGTGCTGTGGAAGCCGCCACATTGGCAACTCGATCTGGGGGGTTGTAGAATCTTTGGGCAAATTGACGGCGTATTCTGATGGAATTCTTGAGGGAAAACCACTCCGAAACTGGGAAATACCAAGTGGATGGGTAGTTTAGTATAATCAATGTCACGCATGCAGGTTATCCAAGACTGACGGTGAAAATTGGCTCATGATAATCAATCATTTGATCAGACAGAATCAATATACGATGTGGGTATTTCGATAATCAGAAGAGCGGGGGGGCTTCGGCACTTTGAATCGATGTGGACTCTTCCGTCTTTGGGACATGAAGGACGTGAAGAGTGGGGTGTCAGGGTAAGTTGATTTATATCCATGTTATATCCATCTTCCTTTCGATTTGTTGGTGGTGTCATTTACCCTCTGGTAATTTAACATAGCTATGGGAAATGGCCATAGAAATAGTGAGTTTTCCCATGAAAAAATGGTGATTTTCGCTATGTAAACGTTTACCAGAGGGTATCTCTCTCTCTCTCTCTGTTTGTGTTGAATGTTCCTTCCACAAAGGAACAGAGCCATCCACACTCATCCATGGTGATGATCCTGCCGTTGTGGATGTTTTTTTTCGAAATTCGATCCCTGGAATCTCATCATGTTGCGTCTCCAATCATAACCCATGAAATACATATAACATCATATAACTTATACCAGATATTGGTTGATAAATCCCTACTAAATCCCTACTAAATCCCTACTAAATCCCAAAATATCCCAATATATTCCATATATTGGTTGATAAATCCCATGAAATCCTCCAATCAATCCCATGAAGTCCCATTAAATGTTCATTAAATTCACATTAAACGCCCATTTGAATCCCATGAAATCCGTATGAAATCCCATGAAATGTCCTTTAAAAATCCTATGAGATCCCATATGCAATCTCTTGTTTGATAAACGGTTTATCTGTGTAATTCCTTGTGGCCCTGGGGAATTGGATTTGAGCCGCTCTATGTTTAAAAAGGATGCAATGCAATTCTTTCCCCTAAGCGATCCCTATCCTGCTGGAACTAAGAGATAGTGAAGAGGCGAAAACAAAACAAACACAAACAATAATAGCACAATGAAACAAACAACAATGACAAAAACAATCAAACTAAAGAAAAACAGCAACACAAAGAAATCAAAAAAAAAAACGAATCAGGAAAAAAACCTGAAAGAACGCAAAATCGGAACACCAAAAAAAAAACAGGAAAAGAACAGCAAAGAAGAGCAATTTCTCACACGTTCGTCGCTTCCCGAAGTTCAGCGGAACACGGGTGCCAGGCAAGTGGATGAACGAGACGCCAAGGTCACCGAGGCCGGGGACCACGGAACAGGTGGCTGGCAGTTGGCTGCCCCGAAATAGCAATTATAACTGGATTTATCATGATATATAACTTATATACCCTCTGTTTATTTAACATAGCCATGGAAAATCACCATTTTTAGTAGGTAAACCATCTATAAATGGGCCATTTTCCATGGCTATGTTAAATAACCAGAGGGTAACCTTAGTTATAGGAGTTTAAATCCCATGTATAACGGTTGAGGGCCATAAGTCTGGAAATGGAGGGTTTAAGGATTTGAAGTGATTATAATCCGGGAGACACTCATCTCTATATGATTATGAGTGATAAGAAAAATGGTGCAATTGTCCATTGCCACGTTCGATTAGAAGAGGATGTGACTGAGAATGTTTCGAATGAACGGAACTCTTTGAATCTGCTTGATTTTGAAACGGATTGAAAAGGGAAATTGGTGTCCCGTTCTGTTTCACTGAGAAAAGCCTAGTGACAAGCTTGGGATAACATTTCAGTATGGCTAGTATGGCGAAGACACCTCGGATACTCTGGCGGAACCACAAATGGTATTTTTTTGTGGGTCAGCAATTGGAGGCTATAGCCATGTAGCAATCAAATGATTGAACATCATTTAGCAATTGAATGTTCGACGGTGGGAGGTTATCCACCGTAGTTTTTTTTTAAACCATTCTTGCCTGCTGCCAATTCCAGACTTGGCTTACTGGAAAATTGACTGGAACACCCCATATTTGAAAATCCATGGTTTCCTGTAATTTTTCCTGTGAATAAATCCACATTAAATCCATTGATTCTGGTTTGTGTCAGTTTTATTTCTACAGAGTAACGCAGACGGTGCATAGATTGTTGTAAGATCCATCAAAATATCCTGCAAGATGGATCGAGCATGTTGAAAGTCACGAACACTGCAGCCATTTTTTTCTATAAAACAGCCTCCGGTAAACCAACATAGATGTTTTCGAAACCCATTTCTAGATCATTTTCCTGCGGAAAGCAGCCAGGTTTTCCACATCTAAATGTTGACCCCACAGTAACTTCATGAGCAATGCCCGAAACTGTTTTCTCTGACAGTACATACAGTACCATGATTCTTCGACCCTCATAGGTATATGTGTCTTCCTTTTCTGTGTCCATTTGTTGCCATCCAACACCAAGCGTATCGACATCCACCTTGCCAGTCGTTTCAAATATCTTTGCAATCCTAACAAGGTGAGGCCTCCCAGTTATATGTTGGTGTATAAATCCCGAGCCCATGAATACTCTCTATGTTTTCATCCCTATCAAAAAAATAACATGGAATTCACCAAGTGATGTATCTTGGATGATCAGGCCCGGTGCTCGGTTCCGCTGCTTTTTCACAGAGCCTCCCAAATTAGAGGATATTATAGTTTGTTTAAACACCAATCTAACTGTAGATATTCATGATGATATTATACATATATACATTATGGCTATAATATATATATATATATATATATAATGATTGTATATTATATATATATATATACATATATATACACCGTATATACAATATTTACATATCTTTATCATATATATATATATATCACATACACATATATATATATATATATATATCATCATATACATACGTATATTCACATATATAATATTATGTATGTATATATATATATATCACCGACCAACAAATCATCAGTTATTGTAGTTAAAACCCTCAAACTTCGCCATTTTTGTTACGGCCCCAGGACGTGACGCATGACGATCGCGGTTTGATGTCCCGTTTTCTGCAAGCCATGGCACCAAGGACTTCTCTGGACACTCGCACAGACTTAGGATGGGAAAGTGATCACAACTTGGTACATGCCAGATGTAATTTGTAATGCTTCATAATGGTGATTAATGGTGATTAATGATTAATGGTTAATAATGGTTAATAATGGTTAATAATGGTTAATAATGGTTAATAATGGTTAATAATGGGTTAAGAATTGGAATAATGGTTAATAATGGTTAATAATGGGTTAATAATTGGAATAATGATTAATAAGGGTTAATAATGGGTTAATAATTGGAATAATGTAGTTAAAACAATGCCATTTTTACCACCCATGACTGGGAATGGTTTGTTTATACCACCAATTTCTGGCGAAAATGGGAATGGTTTATGGCATGGTTTTACCCACATCAACCCATTGCAAACGGGGTATTTTCCGACGCCTTCGGGACCCCAATTCGGGGAGGTTGATGGTTAGGTTTAGCTTATTACGTAAGGGATACAAGCTCTACAACTGTGGTTGTATATCCCTGGTTGGTGTTTTGGAACATTTTTTATTTTTCCATATATTGGGAATAATCATACCAACTGACTAATATTTTTCAAAGCGGTTGAAATTACCAACCAGATCCATTTCTCACTAAGTTTGGGATATTATTCTTCTTGTTTGGGGACATAGTACATTTCTCGATCTCGCTGCAGAGAGTAGCTCAAGCAGTCAGACATGTCCACAGTGAAGGTTTGCCTTATGGGATAGTTTCGAGCAAAAGCCCCCACGTATATATATATTACAAACATGGCGGGGCAGCAACTGCAATGGGAATATATACAGTAAATGATTTTAAGCTAATTTGACAAAGAAGATGTAGTGCTTTTTTTGGGTTTGAAAATGGTGGTTACTCTCAATTTCGGCCCGCAATTTCATGGGGAAGATGATAAATCATGAAATGATGAGATACTCCATGTCTATCCCAAATCGTCCAACTTTACGACCATCGGAGGTAAGTTTCCTCGATTCGCAAGGGAATCTCAAGTTCCTGGAGGCGTATCCTATGGATGTGTCCTAAAATGGTGGTTTTATCCAAATCAGTCCATTGATTTTTTCCCAGGTGAGGATCGCTAGATCTTAACAAAGAAATTGGGGACTCCTGGATGGGAGTGATTAATAACTGGTTGGTGGTTTGGAACATTTTTTATTTTTCCATATATTGGGAATGTCATCATCCCAACTGACGCACTCATATTTTTCAGAGGGGTTGAAACCACCAACCAGATCCATTTCTCACTAAGTCTGGGATATTATTATTCTTCCTGGATGGGAGTGATTAATACTGATTTATAGTAATCAATAATCCTGGATGGCAACTCCTCCTCCTCCTTTTTCTCCTCCTCCTTCACCTCCTCCGCCTCGTTGTCTTGATCTCCTCTGCCAGCGATGCTGGGCCACTCCTGGACCCAAACGCCAAAGAGAATGCCAGACACGATGCCAGAAAGACTGCCAGATAAAATGTCAGAACATGTGACAGATGTTAGATAGAATGCCAAAAAGAATGTCAAAAAGAGATAGGTGCCAGATAGAATGACAGAGAGAATGTCAAATAGAATGTCAGAGTATATGCAAAAAAAAAATGTCAGATAGAATGCCAGAATATAAATATGTATATGTATGTATATATATACATATATATATGCCATATATATATGCCATATATACTTGCAGATGATATGTCAGAAACTGTGTCAGAATAGTGTGTCAGGGTGGGCATCACTCGAAGTAAGGTAATTTGGATTTTCATGGTTTTCGATTATAAACCATCCAACTATTAGGGTGCCCACATCTGTGGAGCCATCCATATTTCCCACTTACTAAATATAAGCCATATGCCATATGTGGGATATACCCTCTTATGCTGGGGTTATGAACCAGTATGGCTTAGATTTAGTAGCCAAGTGTATAAGGTTAAGTATAAACTGTGGACCTTATACATGGTTATAATGAACCATCCCCTGTTTACGGTTTACGGTTTAGGGTTCTTAACCGCTCTCCCAAGCGGAACCAAACAGCAGAGTTTCAACTCCTCCTGGAATAAGGCCTTCAACGAAGCCCACCAGCGCGGGTTCTTGCATCGCAGCTGGGTGAAACGGTTTTTTATTGGGCTGAATTGATATCCACATGATATATACCCTCTGGTTATTTAACATAGCCATGGTATAGATGGCCCATTTATAGATGGTTTACCTATTAAAAATTGTGATTGTCCATGGCTATGTTAAATAACCAAATGGTATAAGTATGATTAAACCACAATATTCATGAGTTAAACGACAATTGAACCACACAAAATTCATGGCTTGAGGCACTATGTCCATTATATCCCCATTAAAACACTATAAATTCATGGCCTCATAGCTACTCCTCCCAAGCAGGCATGGTACCAAGTATCAAGTGGCACCCAAAGGCTCATTATGATTATTACTAATTAGCTATAATTATTATTTATGTTATCTGATTATTTATTATTGTTATTTTGTTAGTATATAATATTATCATTGTTATTATTATTAAATATATTGTATATACATGGTTATATATTGTATTGTTCTTGCCGCAAGTGGGTGATGTACAAGAGACAGCTGAACATTGAGTTTTCGGGATTAAACCATGGAAGTTGACTGACGAGTTGAACATGTTTAGAGAGCTTTGCGGCTGCAACTTCCAAGCTGTGCCTTCACTATCCCTAGATATCCAAAACTACATATGCGACATCGACTGATGGACAATGCGTTGTTGGGCCGTTGGGTCATGTTTAGCTATCTTCGAAGAGCCCAGAGCAATTTTTCACATCATACATATATTGTATACAATGCTGACACTTGTGTATAATCTTCAGATACATCGATACGTTATCAACAGAACATAATGATGCGTTCTTTTTTGTAATTGGTGTTCACCGTGTTTTTCTTGTCCTAGTCCACTTTGCGATTTTCCATTTCCATGTCATGTTCGTACCCACTATTACTTCTAGCAAACCGTAGGAGTTTTTGACACGGCTATCAGGTTGGCCAGCCTTAACGGGGGATTTTCCCTTCTAAGTAGACGTTCAATCTACACATGGAGAAGGGACCTGGGACCTCAAAATGGGCCGGCTTACCACCAGCAAGGGTCAAAACATATCAAAACCAGCGGCTAGGGGCTAGCAAGGGTCAAAACATGTTAGAACATGTCAAAACCAGTGGCTAGGGGCTGGGTTCATCCTACAATTGAAAGGACACTTGAAACCGGAAAGTGTAAACCATGTATTTTCCATGAAAAAAACATAGTTTGGCAGATTTGTGGAAAAAATAAGACTTTTGTTTTCCTCCCGATTTTTCGTGGAACATCCGTCTTCCAAGGCCTTGATGTACCAAGCTCTGGACTGATCTTGACGGCCCAGATGCTCGACGACCAGTTGGAGCTGGAAAGCCGACGGCCGATGTTTTCTGACATTGCTGACATTTCTGAAAAAAATAACATGTCTGATTGGTGGTTTGGAACATTTTTTATTTTCCATAATATATGGGATAATCCTTCCAAGTGACTACTATTTTTCTGAAAAAAGAACATATATGCATGTTTTTTTTTTAACGGTGCGGTGCCGATTTCTTATTCTTTATCAGCAACGGTGCTGATTTTGGATAACTTTCGACGTTTACCCCAGAACAGCATCCCACGGTGGGTCTACCCATTGCGTCATCGGATTGTCGATTCCTGTTTGGTGTTTGATGGTGTTGAGTTGTTTTTTCCCGAATGCGTAGCAAGGGTTCCCGTTTCACTCTGGGGGTCTGGGGGTTGAGGGTGTGTTCGCTCGACGTTGCGTCCGCGTCCGCAACCGTCCGCAACCGTCCGCAACCGTCCGCGTGAGGACCGTATGGCCGTGCCTATGGGAAGTTCTGCAGAGGTGGTAATTTTTGGAGGTTTCAGACGTGTCGTTGCTTCGTTTCGCGTGGCAGGCGTGGCACTTCGTGACATTCAGACGTGTTCTGGAACGTGTCGAAAGTCGTTTTGCGTGGCAGGCGCAATACTTTTGCGACGTTTTCCGAAGATGTGTTGCAGTTTTCGTGGCAGGTGCAGCACTTTGGACGTGTCCATCGTCATTTTTCGTGGCAGGCGCAGCATTTTAGACGTGTCATGTTGCGTGTTTTTTGCAAATCGCATTGGCAGGGCTGCGTCAAGTGTCGACAAGGTGCAAATTCCGTGGCAGGCGTGGCATTTTGTGCGATGTGCTGAAAATTGACGGAAGCCTCGCACGAAACATCGATTTTGAGGTTGCAAATTTTCAGGTTCTAAGGAAAACTCGTAGAAAAACATCGATTTTGAAGCTACAAAGTGTGAAAATTCGAGGACGTCTCGCACGAAATGCTCGTTTTGGTGCTCCCACCTGTCTCGTCTCGAGTCTCTGGTCTTCCCGTGGCCTCGCCGTGTCTATGGGGGAAGCTGCAAAACTTGTCCTTTTGTCATGCTGCCAACTGTGAAAATTGGAGGAAGTCTCGTACGAAATGCTGGTTTTTCTGCATCCACGTGTCTTGTCTCGAGTCGCTGGTTTTCCTGTGGCGTCGCCGTGTCTATGGGGGAAGCTGGAAAACCTCTCCGATTCGAATGTGTCCAAGCAGGTTGTCATGTCGTTTTGCGTGGCAGGCGTGGCACTTTGTGACATTCCAAGCTGTTTGATAACGTGTTGAAAATGTCAAAATTGGAGGAAGTCTCGTACGAAATGCTGGTTTTTCTGCATCCACGTGTCTTGTCTCGAGTCGCTGGTTTCCTGTGGCGTCGCCGTGTCTATGGGGGAAGCTGGAAAACATCTCCTATTCGAATGTGTCCAAGCAGGTTGTCATGTCATTTTGCGTGGCAGGCGTGGCACTTTGTGACATTCCAACCTGTTTGATAACGTGTCGAAAATATCAAGCTTGGAGGAAGTCTCGCACGAAATGCTCGTTTTTTTGCACCCACATGTCTCGTTTCGAGTCTCTGGTTTTCCTGTGGCGTCGCCGTGTCTATGGGGGAAGCTCCGCACTCCACACTCTACACTTTACACTCCACACTCCACAATTTACACTTTAGACTCCACACTCTACACTTTACACTCCACACTTTGCACTTTACATTCCTCACTCCTCACCTGAGACTTTACACTCCACACTCCACACTTTACACTACACTCTACACTTTCCACTCCTCACTCCTCACTCTACACTTTACACCCCGCACTCTACACTCCACACTCCACACTTTACACTTTACACTCCGCACTCCACACTCCACACTCTACACTCCACACTCCCCACTTTACACTCCACACTCCACACTCTACACTTTCCACTCCACACTCCGCACTCCACACTCCACACTTTACTGTACACTGCACACTCCACACTTTATACTTTACACTCCTCACTCCACACTCCACACTTTACACTCCTCACTTTACACTCCACACTCCACACTCTACACACCACACTCTACACTTTCCACTCCAGACTCCACACTCTACACTTTACGCTCCACACTCCACACTTCACACTCCACACTCCACACTTTACACTCCACACTCCGCACTCCGCACTCTACACTTTACACTCTACACTATACACTCTACACTCCACACTTTACACTTTACACTCCACGCTTTCCACTTTACACTCCACGCTTTCCACTTTACACTCCTCACTCCACACTTTACACTGCACACTCTACACTTTACACTCCACACTCCACACCCTACACTCCACACTTTACACTCCACACTCCACACTCCACACTCTACACTTTCCACTCCACACTCCACACGCTACACTCTACTCCACAATCTACACTTTACACTCCACACTCCACACTTTACACTTCACACTCCACACTTTACACTCTACACTTTACACTCTACACTTTACACACTTCACACTCTACACTTTACAAACTCCACACTCCTCACTCCACACTTTACACTCCTCACTTTACACTTCACACTCCTCACTCCACACTTTACACTCCTCACTTTACACTCCACACTCCACACTTTGCACTTTACACTCCTCACCCCACACTCTACACACAACACTCCACACTCCACACTCTACCCACTGCACACTTTACACTTCACACTCCACGCTCCACACTCTACACTTTCCACTCCACACTGCAGACTGGTAACAAGGGAAACATGTACAAGACTGTTCAAATAAACTATTGCAGAAAGGTATTGTGCGTTCTGTACCATTAACATACGTGTGAGCATTCAGGTTCGTGGGCTTCATCTTGTTTTACAGATGAGGGTTGTTTCCGGCTGACAAAAATGTTTTGGGGATAGGTGGTTCGATCACGAACTAGATTAACTAAACGTAGTTAACTTAGTTGATAATCTAACTTAAGCATACTTAAGCTATATAGCAAGATGGGGATCCATAGAAGTCCAGCCTCACTCAGCTTTTTTTTAAGATGGTGAAGTCACCACCAACCAGATATATGTATATATATATATTATATCATCTATATACAGTATGTAATCTATTATACATATAATTTATAATATTCATATCTCTCTCTCTATATATATATATACATATATGTCCCTATGGATCCAGCCGTACCTTCTTAGGAAGTGGGACTGGGGTATGATTTGGGGGGTTAAGTACCTTCTCAGGAGGTGTTTGGATCCATAGGGATTATTTTGATAGAAACACACACGCACACACGAAACCCCTGTTTAGTATTGGATCTATTTATGAGTGCTCCCAACAGTTGAGGGTACTGAATATGCTTGCAACGCGGTGCCCCCTAATTAAATTTGTTGGTTTATACACCCCAATAACCATTAGCATGATCCCAACAGTTACGTTGGTTGTCAACCAATTTGGACTAACTTATCCCCTTACTAATTCCCATGATACCACCATTTCTGTTTAAAGCACAATTTTTAACATTAGATGATAGCCCATCGGTATCCTTGGGGGGATTTAAGATTAGATGTGTTGATAATCCCCAAGTCATCCCAATATAATTCCCATGTAATCACCATTTACTGATGCTTAAGCCATGTTAACCTCTCCCATTTCTCTTGAGGTCAGCACTTGGCCCACCAGGTCCTTCGAAGCCTTCTACGACCTCAAATTTCAGCTCTCCACGGGCCGTTTGGAGCGCGATTACTTGGTGCTGTGCCACGGGCGGATGCCAGCGCGTTGCTTGGAGATTGCTAATCAACATAATCAACAAACCATCTGATGTTTTTTTGAAATGGGATTTAATATTTATTTAGTTGAGTCTTATGAAATTGTATGGGATTTACTCCTGGTTGTGTAACGTAGCGAACTGGAAAAGTTGGAACATCACCATGTTTAAGTTTAGGTAAATCATCATAAAACCGGGCCATGTTCATCCATTTTCCACAAGTGTTATAAATTACCAGACTGTAACTCTTGGAGAAAATGGCTTTGTCTGATGTTTTTGTTGTGGTTCAATATGGCTATATACTGGGTACCCTAGAGTATACTAACGTAGATGTGGAAAATCCCTGATGATTCCCCTATAGGAATCCGGGACATGGACGACATGGAAGGCCACTGCCGATCGACGGGAAAATCACGAGCCCATATAGACTGGTCATATAACAGGGGTTGGTAACTGTCCCATTTTGGGTATATTGGACATCACCTTATAGTAGCCATTATAGACCATATACCTAATGGTTGGGTGATGTTCAATGGGGACATTTAATGACCCATGTATAATGGGATATAACATGATATACTGGTTGGTGGTTTGGAACCATGGAAATTTATGACTTTCCATATATTGGGAATTTCACAATCCCAACTGACGAACTCATATTTTTCAGAGGGGTTGAAACCACCAACCAGACATTATATAGTGGGATATGGAGGTTTCCTGACATAGGGCTACCCCTAGTCATCATCCATTTTCGATTGGGATTTTCCACGAAATAAACTTAAACTAACCATCCAGCTGGGGTACAGTAACCCCATTTATGGAAAGCCACATATAAATTCCCGAGTTGGCTGATGGGAAGGGTCCCAGGAATTGAACAAATAAGGAGATGCAGTGTAACTGGGGCATTTTTGTTAAACCTACCTACTAGTCTGGGATGCACCCCACGTACCCTCCAGCCAACAAATATATAGATAAACATATATAGATATGAACAAAAAACACCATTTTGTAGATAATTTCCAGGTGGATTTCTGTAGCTGTGTTAGCTTCCGGTATGCCTAGGCCTAGACCCTCAGCATACCTAAGAGATGCCATGGACATTGCTCATGTTTTGTCAGGTAGATTAGATTTTAAAAAAAATGCAAGGATTTGATGCCTTGATACCCGGGATATGGAGCATTCGGACATATTTGCAGAGCAGACCAGCATAAACTAAATGGCAAACTGGGTCTCAACTCAGTCTGGTACAGTACCCTGCTGTTTATCCCAAAAAATAGCTGGAATTGACATGAATTGACTCTAAACATGATGTTGATCCCCCAACCATTGATGGAACATGGATGGAATTTCAAACGGTTTTGATCCACGTGGGTCCCACAGCAACTCAGGTTCTTCCATTGAAAGTCGCATCACGTGGACTTCTCAGGACGGTAAATCCTGGGTCCCTGGGTCCTGGTTGGGAGAAATTTTCGATGGCGCTTCACGTGAAGTACTGTCATTTATCCAGATGTATCCAGAAAAAAAATTGCCTGCGTCATAGGGATTAGCATATCCATCAACACTTGTAATGGGACAATGTCCATCACCTGCTAGCTTCAAGTGCATCATTCCAGTTGGATATGCGGACTATACATGGTGAATGCACCAATCTGGCTGTCACCGCGACGTCAACATATATGGCTAGGATTCGGGGGAATCAAACCCCAAATGTCCGAACTTTTCAGGTTGGTGAGTTGTTATACAATTTAGCCAGCAATATGAGACATCGATAGACATCGTATTTTTTGGGTCCTTGCCTGTCTGACCCCCAAGCCACCCGTGCCCCGAATCATCGCAACATCTCAGCAATTCAATGAGATGTTCAGTCGCTGACCATGTAACGAAATCCATGACAAGGCCTTTTCAACCGACAATATTGCAACAACCAATGCATGTTCATGCTATATGAAATCCAGGTTGAATCATCCCATTACCCCTAACAATCAAGATATATTAAGAATTATTAAGATATTTTAAGCATATTAAGCCATTGTAAGCCAATCTTAAGCCACATTAAGCTCCATCAACATCCATCAACCATGGTTTACATTAAGATACCCATCGCTTCCTCCATTGTGAGAGGGCCCCGAAGCCAACGAAGTGAGTTGGATCAGCGCCGCGGGGCGAGCTTCCAAGACGTTGATCCTGCGGAGGGTGAGCGAAACGAGCCTTGGGACGAAACCGACGAAGGGGGCCATGGAAGAAACATGATATAGGTGGTTAAGTGTGGCATATTTTGTGGTGATGAATATCTATCTATAATCTGATTTTGGCAGTTTTTGAAGGATAGGTTCCACCATGATCAAGAACTGGATTTGAGCAAAACAACATTGGGAACGAACCAAACTATATGCTATGTGTTGTATAGTTTGCACCCGTCAAACATAGGGGTTTGAAACAACAAAATACAAGGAGCCAAGCCACTGGTGAAGGGTGGGTGATTTGGTCAATGGTGAGATAAGGGAAATTTCTCACCAATGTTTTTATTTGATTGTTTTGACTACCATAACACTGGGATGAAGCAAAAGTAACAGCGGAAACCAATCTAGGCAACGGCGGGTGAAGAAGGGACATTCAAAAATGTCCACCTCCATTTTTTGCCAGGGTTCTGATCTAATGCTAACCAAGGGCCAGGATTCATAAAACAAAGTGCAGTTTGTTTCCCCGGTTGACAACTTGGGGAACATTCATGAGGGACAAAGACCGTTGATCAACTCATGTTAAGTGATTGACTGATAGGGTGATATGTGGTGGCCCAAAAGTTATGAGTTTCTATCAGGCATGGTAACCCCCCACGTTGTTCTTGCCCAGGATTTGTCAGCCCTAAGGCTTAGGAATATGGAATCAGATGGCACGTATGTATGTATATATATATATACACATACGTATACAAAATCTATCGATGGATCTATGGATTGGTCTATCTATCTTATCTTATCTTATCTTATCTTACCTTATCTTATCTATCTATCTAACTATCTATCTATCTATCTGTCTATCTATCTATCTATCTATCTATCTATCCATTTATCTATATCTATATCGATATGTGTATCTATATCTATATCTATGTCTATATCTATATTTTTTATCTATATCTATATCACATATATATCAATATCTATCTATATCTATCTATATATATATCTATCTATATCTATCTATATCTATCTATATATCTATATATATATATATCTATCTATATCTATCTATATCTATCTATATCTATCTATATCTATCTATATCTATATGTATCTATCTATATCTATCTCTATCTATCTATCTATCTCTATCTATCTATCTATCTATCTATATATATATTTATCTATATCCATGTATATCTATCTATATCTATCTATCTATCTATCTATCTATATATATATATATCTACATCTATCTATATCTACCTATATCTACCTATATCTATCTATATCTATCTATATCTATCTATATCTATCTATATCTACCTATATCTATCTATATCTATCTATATCTATATTTATATCTATCTATATCTATCTATATTTATCTATCTATATATACATATATATATTATACATCTATCTATCTATCTATATCTATATCTATCTCTATCTATCTATCTATATCTATATCTATCTATATCTATCTATATCTATCTATATCTATCTATATCTATCTATATCTATCTATATCTATCTATATCTATCTATATCTATCTATATCTATCTATATCTATCTATATCTATCTATATCTATCTATATCTATCTATATCCATCTATATCTATCTATATCTATCTATATCTATCTATATCTATCTATATCTATCTATATCTATCTATATCTATCTATATCTATCTATATCTATCTATATCTATCTATATCTATCTATATCTATCTATTTCTATCTATATCTATCTATATCTATCTATATCTATCTATATCTATCTATATCTATCTATATCTATCTATATCTATCTATTTCTATCTATATCTATCTATATCTATCTATATCTATCTATATCTATCTATATCTATCTATATCTATCTATATCTTTCTATATCTTTCTATATCTATCTATATCTATCTATATCTATCTATATCTATCTATATCTATCTATATCTATCTATATCTATCTATATCTATCTATATCTATCTATATCTATCTAGATCTATCTATATCTATCTATATCTATCTATATCTATCTATATCTATCTATATCTATCTATATCTATCTATATCTATCTATATCTATCTATATCTATCTATCTATATATCTATCTATCTATATATCTATATATCTATCTATCTATCTACCTATCTATCTATATCTATCTATATCTCTATCTATATCTCTATCTCTATATCTATATATATAAATATATTTCTATATATATCTATATCATCTATCTATCTATATCTATCTACTATCTATCTATATCTACCTATATCTATCTATATCTATCTATATCTATCTATATTTTCTATATCTTTTTATCTATATTTATCTGTCTATATCTATCTATCTATCCATCCATCCATCCATCCATCTATCTATTTGTCTGTCTGTCTGTATCTATCTATCTATCTAATCTAATCTAAATCTAAATCTAATCTAATCCTAATCTAAATCTAACCTAATCTAACCTAATCTAACCTAATCTAATCTAATCTAATCTAATAGATAGCCTACAAATGGTCGACATTAGCCATTTTTTTTGTTGTTTATATTTTTCAGCAGCGCAAAAATCTTTGGACATGGGGATGGATCAAACCGGGACCTTTAACGGGACTGAATCCCTTTGGAAATTCCTCTTTAAAAAGATGGGGATGGAGATGATCAGGGTGATGATTTAATTTATACTACTTAATATTCATGGGGATGGAGATGTGGGGATGGAGATGTTTATATTCAGATGATGGGGGTGGAGATGATAAATTTGATAAATGTTCTATAAAACATATTTCCACTCAATATTCATACATGATTTACACCCTCTGGAAACCCAAGAGTTTGCGAACTGGAAAACCACTACACCCAACCAGGTGCACCCCCAACGATGTCGCTACAGATGATGGTAGGCTAAGTATTGTATCTCAAAATGTTCGAACTGTTCAGTTTTAGGATATTCTAAGATATCGGAAATCATCAGAATCATTCAGAATCATTCAGCCAGAATGAAACTTAAATTGTAGGAAACCAAGCCACAGAACTGCCCCATTTCTCCGAGAGGTTGGGCTTTACTTTACTGGAGATCCGGATTCGTACGGGTCGACGGCACCAAATTCGTGTGCACCTGCGCCTCGGTATCAAGCCTGGAGTCATGGAATGCCATGGACTAGCCAAGTCCCCTTTAGAAAATAGGAAAAATCCTGGGAAAATCATGGGAAATCCCATGAAGGTTTAGTTCACTGGGAAAATCATCGACCTATGGCGAAGTTTCATGGGAAAATGTGACTACCGGAGGGTGTTTTTGTGCTTTGAATAGGGATGTTACTGGACTGAACTAGTGTTGACTACTTATTTCTGCATGTATACTTTTTAATGGGTCAACCCCCTGTCACACCCATCAGTCTTTGTGGGAAGCAGAATCTAATAAAAACATCATGTGGCAACCCCCCCAAAAAAGGGGTGTCTTATTTGTTTAGTGTTTGATATTCCCCCCCAAATGGCGTAAAAAAATGGCATGTCTTCTTGTTGGCTTTGCCGCTTAGCCCATGATTTCGCCTGGGTGACGTCACCGCTTAGCGTCGTGCAGGTGCTACGTGGGACATCCCACAGTGATGGATGGGAAGTACACATCACTGGCCACGCAGCATGCGGATTCCAAGTGGTGTCTTGGAGCATGGTATAGGACGACTGGCTGCAAGCAAGCCACAAAAACTTTGGGGAATACTTAAGGGCTATATTTCTATGTACATATGTTGATATATACCATTATATACCTTGGTAATTCTATCGGCAATGATATATGCAACAAAAAAAGTAAAGTTTACCATCTAAAATGGTGGTATATCGGAATATAATATATATATATATATGTATATATATATATACATATTGAATATATTGGGAAAAACATATTTACATATTTACATATAATATAATAAAAACATATAAACACCTGGATGAACTAGTCCAGTCATTTCGCTGCGACGTCACTGGACTAATGCTTTGGTAAATCCTTCAGGTGGGTGAACTATTAGAATTCATCCAGATATGCATATGAGGATAGTATAGTATAATGGGTATAAGAGTATGATAGGTATGCGCGTTGTTTTTAATGGTATATTATATATATATGATTGATGTGTATACATGACAGGTATATGCGAAGGGTAATACAATGGGTGAAACAATATGGCATTGTTGGGATATAGTAGATATATGCAGGAAAAGGTAGAGTTGATTATCACAGAATCCTGAAGTAAATTTGACCTTGCATTTTTTTCTGTTTTTTGCAGGGTTCTGTTCTATAACAACTTTCGAATCCAAAGTAATTCTGACTAGCCAGTGAGGTACGGGTCGACATGCCAGGTTCATTCGGAACCACATTTAGTTACTCTCAGTTGCCACCATGCCTTCGGGTGAATTGACCAGTGGTATCAGCCACTTATCATTGTTATTGGTCATTTGATGTCATTTCATATCAGTTGCCTTTTTTCCCACTTATCATTGTTCAGCACTTCACATCCAAGGTAGCCATTGACATGTCCTTGCTCAGCATTTTGACGGGCATTTCTCCTTTTGGTACTGTGCTAAACCCTAAGAAACCCTAAGATGCAATTATTCAAATGTGTCATGTGGCTGCAGTATTTTCAGCAACATTTTATCCACATCAATTTATGTCCTGCCCTCCATATATCAATCATTTAGCCTTTACTTAGCTTTTGAGATGTTTTAACCATATTGATAGACAATGTAATTTCATGTCTATGTAATCCTTTGTCCAATGATGATACTTAATCCATTTATTTTTGAAATTGCAGTTGATTCATTGTATACACATCCATCATACAGAACCACTTTATACATCTATACTGGTTGTAGTTTGGAACATGTTTATTTTCCATATATTGGCAATGTCATCATCCCAACTGACTTTCACTCCATCATTTTTCAGAGGGGTAGGCTAGGTCAACCACCAACCAGTATATATATATAAAATTAACAACCACTAATGTCACTATTGAATTAAACACATCGTGTATATATACCACTAAAACCCACTAAATGTCACTATTGAATTTCTCATCCTTTCACTCTGATTCGAACGGATTTTTCCCAACAAAAAAAACCGGTCGTCCCGGAGGTGCCCGCGGAATTTCCTGCATCGCCACCGCTTGGCCTTTGATGTGCCTCCACTTCCGCAAAGGATGGAGGTTTCAGAGGCGAAAAATGGGCCTCTGGAGTTGTGAAAACCAATGGGAAGCCATGGGAAAACATAGGGAAACCCATAGGAAAATGGAGGTTTTATGGGAAAACATAGGGAAAGCCATAGGAAAATGGAGGTTTTATGGGAAAACATAGGGAAAGCCATAGGAAAATGGAGGTTGACCCTCTGGTAAACTAACATAGCTATGGAAAGATCCACCTTTTTGAATGGGAAAACTCACTATAAATGGTGATTTTCAATAGTTATGTTCAATTACCAGAGGGTAATGAAAATTATAAGGGATCTCGAAAGTGTAGTTATCCATAGAGGATGTCAAAGCCAACAATTTTTGCCATCTCAGCAACCATTTTGAATCAACCAAAATGTCCTAAAGATGAATAGGACACAATGCTATAGAAACAAGATCCGGGGTGTCTTCAACAGATTTCAGCGACGATTCACGTACAATCACTTAGATATGAGTCACTGGAATAATGGCTGACAAAGAAGCAAGACCTCCCATGAAGATTATGGATCTGCTTGTTTGGAATACCATTTTTGTTTTGACAATGATGACAATCTGCCAATCTTATGGTCTGCTCATAACAATCAATCTGCCAATTCTTGGAAATCCCAACGATGTCTTCAACGACAACAGCTGGCCAAGCACAGAGAACAGGATCTGGGTTCGCGTCATTTTTTCTCAGAGAACCAGAACAGTTGTGGGTCATGTTCTTCTGCATTGAACCATCCATTTTTGGGGCACCCATTTGCTACAGTTACCCATCCTTAGCTGATTGTTGGATTCAGCAGTTGTTGCGTACATCAAGTAGTGGATGCTTTTGTGCCCCAAAAAAATGCACACCAGATGCAGTTCTTTCCATCGTAAACTTTTCCCCATATCCTGTTGTTCACTCAGGCAGGTGACAGTGGTGAACAGGCATCGGATTGGATTCGGTTGTTTCTGAACTCTTCACATTTTTCGCCCCCCTAGCCCAATTCAGTACAAGTCTCCATATTTTGCCCATATCTATATCATATATATATAATTATATATTATAATCTATATCTATATAATATCCATATTTTGTCCAGATATCATATCTATGGATGTTACTTTTTCCTCTATAAAATGGCAGAGGTCAACCCCCTCCATAAAACGTTTTATGTTATGGTCTTGTGGGGGTATAGCCTTGCCATTCATATCTCTATGTCTGGTTGGTGGTTTGGAACATGTTTTATTTTTCCATATATTGGAAATAATCATCCCAACTGACTAATATTTTTCAGAGGGGTTGAAACCACCAACCAGATATGGTTAAATGGAATTTCACGGGGTTTAGTGGGATATAACATGATACAACTATATATCCAACTTAATGGGTTAAACCACCAACCAGGCCATGTCTATGTTCATTTGCTGGTATCTCTTGGGCACGTCAGGCCTTACCTGAGGATTTAGCCCAAGCGCTAGATCGCCGCTCGCCCAGCTGGCGCCTTGGAAACGCCATGTGGAACATGGGGAGCCAGTTTTTTGGAGCTAGGAATTGAATTTCCCAACTTACATGGATATACATGGATAGTCAGGTTTTAATGTTTTTTTTTCATTTTTCTCTTAGTCTTTTGGTTGAATCAATGGTGTGAGCTCTGCTTAAACCAAGAGGATAGGCAGAGTACTTGAATCGTTTGCTGGAAATATGGATGTACGATGACCAGCTGTATTTGTCTTTGCAGGCTGCGAGACTATTCGCAATGTCGACCACTTGTTGTTTTAATCAGCCCTATTTAGGATTCTGATCCTGATTGACTTCGTTTAGATGCGTTAGTGTAAAGCCACCAGCCAGAGGTTTGATACTCGTTGATAATTTTAGAGATAAATGATGATACATGATTTTTTTGTCCGATGTTCACAAGGTGCTTAGGGCACAACATGGCACAACTTCTATCTAAGGACGAGCTGCAAAATGGGCTGCGGCTGAAAAAAGTCTTCGAGCGATGGTCATCTGTGTGTCCTTGACAAAGGAATTGTCTTAACATAATATACCCGTAATATACCCGTAATATACCCGTAATATAACGGTATATACCCATTATATGTATATATATATATATATCAGTATAAACTGATTATATACTAGTACATATAAATATTAAACCGTCTCAAATTTTCTACGACATACATGAGTCCTCCAGCTTTTCTTGGCTCTTGGTGAATCATGTGTGACAAAATGAGACAACAGACAAGTAGTTCCCCTATAGTTACTATGCGTATAAACCAACACAACTAGCTGAGATTTTGTGCATTTGTGCAAGACAATGTTGTGCTGTGTTGCTTTGGACAATCGATCATCTGGGAAATGGAATCATATCATATGTGAGGTTTGTGGGCTCCCTGGAGCAAATTCAAGACTACATACAAACTATTTTGAAGTGTATTCACCAGTTACGGCAGCTTTGTGTAGCCATTGCATCGCAATCTAAAAACTAACATGACCATTGCAGGCAAGAAACCATGTCGCAATTACATGCAATTACCACCAACGTAATGCATTACAATTAGAATACATGACATAAAGTAAGCATTGACATATACATATGATTGCTTTCTATAAACCGCGATGTAAACTACCACCAACTTACATCACCACCAAACAAAACAACATTACCATTGTCAAACTAACATGATGGTGCTACCCTTGCTGGTCTGCACATGGAACGGTATATATTATATAATTTGTAGATATAGATGTTGATTCACATCATATATAACTCGTTAATTTCAATATAATACATTAATTCATAGGGTTTGAATGATATGTGTATATATATATATACATCTAGCTAATCACCATTTACAATTGCCAGCGTCAAAAGTTCCATTATGGTTGTAGAGCTTCCCAACTCGCTATTGGGTCAAAATCGACGCCAATTTGCAGCCCCCTGAGCATCGATGGCTGCCCCATAGGCATATGAACATGCTAAAGCCCTTGTTATTGTTGGTTAAGTACCAAGTCTATCCAATTCTGGCTTTAATCCATATTGATGATATAACTATCACATATATATATATATGTATATATATATATTATATGCCAGATTATATCAGTTATTGGAAATATATATATATATATAACTCATAATATCCAACTATATCCTGATATCCATAATACGTCCTGATATCAGTATCAGTTACATCCAACAAAAAATGTGTTATAACCACGATCCCATGATATCTCCAAAAGATTCCCAACAAATCTCCCAGCGACTCTGTCGAGGCCTGGAAAGACAGGTACGCCTGTGGCGTCTTTCTACAAGCGCCCAATGGCCAGGCGCTAAAGCGGAGCTGGAGCTGGTGTCGCGTTTTTACTGACCATGGCGTATATATATACCACATATCATAATTAGTAGTGTGTGTATACATACTGGTCAAATGTATATATACAAATATATTACTCATTATATGGTTTGTATTGAGAATAAATGCATGTACATTCTAATATATCATTATATGAATATCACAGAAATATATTATATTTATATATATATATACATTAATACACTTCAATGATTGTCGCGTTTGACAGGAGAAATCTGATCTGTCCTCAAGGTGGGAAGCTACCTGAAATGGGTGTTCCCAAGGTGTAGCATCAAGACGGCCTGAAAAAATGGCTTCCCCCCAAGAAGTCTAATGGTTAATGAATGTTGATGACACGTGATATCGACCAATTTGTTTAGCAATAGTCATTGTGGGTCCATTTGCAATTTATAATTTCAAACCACAGCTATGTAATTAAAGCATATAGGCATATAGGTTACCCTCCAGAAATGCTCATTGGTAATTAGAAATAAGCAGTTCCTTATAGATGGTTATTCCATATTTTTCATTGAAGCGGGATTGTCCGATTGCTAGAGCCATATTCATGGATTGTATGGAAAAAACTATCAGAAAACCCTTGCTTGTCAATGCGTGCAGGATGCGTGCAGGACAACTCCGTCCTATGAGCGCGTTTCTACAGTAGGGACCGCAGGAAGCGATCCCAGACACCCCTGGCTTCGGGGTTTAAGAAGTCGCAGTATATACTGGTTCCTCAGGTGCCGATTTTGACGATCTATCTTCAGAGTCCTTTGGCTCTGCTTGGCACATGCCCTTGTCGAAGTCTGCCGGATGGCGAATCTTGTGGAGATGTCGTGAAGGATGACATGGGCCGCCAGAAAAGAACCCAATGATTTTCTTCGGCCGGTTTCCGTCAAAATGAAACTAACCCCAGCCCAAAGCTGATGCTTAAGATTAGCGGAGCCCTTATAACATGGTTGGTGGTTCAGATTTGCCCTTAACAAAGCCTTGTAGTTCTAGGAACGTGGTAAAATGGCGCCCTGGCGGCCTGGCGGCGACCCTTTCTAGTTGGGGAGTTACCTGACTCGGGAATGGTGGAATCCTGAACAACTTGTTGAGTCTCCCAATCACACGGTTAAGACAATGCAATACCAATCTGCGGTTGCCCTTAAATTTTGACACCCAAATGTGGGTTTCCCACGATACATCCCCAATATATGGGATGGTGATAGTATACATTATATAACACCATACAATTATCAATCAACAGGAGTTTAGCAGCAACTGCAAATATGGGGTATCCAGTTTCCCATGATATTCCCATTAAACCACCAGATTCATGGGTTAAGCACCATTGTATAATCCCAGATAGCGGCTATCAAGTTGGTGAGTTGCATTCCCATTGTGTCGAAGTTCCATAAGCTGGTTAGTCTCATTACAATTCCAATGACACCCCCATCAAAAATCACCATGTGTGCATATTCGTGATGCTTCAAACAAACATCGGAAAACAAAAGTGCCTAAGTCAAGTCGCCAGCATTTGGCGATTTTCCCATGGCCCATACGTTTGGCCATGTAAGCAGTGTTGAAACTTCTGTTGGTCGATGATTATAGTATTATAAAATTATACACGATTATACTACCCAATATATTGTTTGGTTGGTGGTTTGGAACATTTTCTATTTTTCCAGATATTGGGCATAATCATCCCAACTGACTATTTTGTTTCCAGAGGGGTTGAAACCACCAACCAGTTGTGTATTGTGATACTCCAATAGGAACCAACCAGTAGTACACATTCCATCACTGTTTGGTTCTTAATCCTGTTCTTAACCAACCAGTAACGTAATGCAAGTTGGGTATGGGTCAATACCTATAGATACATTTTTAGTGGGTTATTCACATCCATAAATCCCAGCTATGACTTGGGGTTCACGGCACGGTACCAGGGTTTTGACCCATCCCCAGTTGTGTTTGTAGGTGTCTTTCAAAGTCACTTTGGGCACCAAGAGCTCGCTGGGGAACCTGGTGCTCTGTCGTTGACCAGACAGAGAACAGGGAAATTTGGAACCAAGGGATATGATGGTTTCATGAGATTATCCAGCATATATATATATATACACAATATATATATATATATATACAGCATGGGATATGAGTTATAGCCAACTAAGTGAGCAACTTGACTGAATATCAATAGGATAAGACCAGCCAACAAGATGAACTATCTCTGGTTATTTGACGCGTTGCGAACTGGAAAATCAGCATTTTTGGGAGGTGAACCATCACTATTATCATCTATAAATGGGCCATGTTCCATAGTTATGTCAAATAACCAGAGGGTATACATATGAGCTATATTATCAGAAGCATGGTGAATGGAACTATGTATTTGATGGTTAGGAAGTAAATGTTCAGTGAGCTGTCTAAGGAGCTATGGTTGTATATCACCATATTTCCTCAAAGATACATTGGGGAGCCAAGGAGCTACAAAGTGAGTCCCCCCCACCACGTGATGGACTATAGATACTGGTTGGTGGTTTCGAACATGGCTTTTATTTTCCATCATATATGGGATGTCATCCTTCCCATTGACGAACTCCATCATTTTTCAAGATGGTTGAAACCACCAACCAGGATACAGTTTTTGTTGTTTTTTTAATAAATTTCTTTGCGTCTCTCAAGGCGATGTCCCAAATGTTGAGCCATTGCCACGAGTATTTTCCAGAATGGAGTACCCCAACACCTAGCGCTTTCAATACGAAAAGTTATACCATGTTTTGGATGATTTTGGGAGTAGCCCTAGTTTAACTGGAAACATCCATAGTTTTATTGTGGTTTGACACAATTTGACTTGGTTTACACACTTTGTGTTTTGCTAAGAAACTAGATGCCTTGAGGTACTTTCTCAACGGTTCTGGGGCTATTGGCCATTTGGTTCAACATTACAGTACAACCAGGAGAGCCAATCAATATGTGTATATTGTATGCTAAAATGTGGATGCGTGGTTTCAGGAATCATCCAAGTTTTCTGTTTGCTGTTCTGACTTTTGCAGGAACCAGGAAGCATCCAATATTTGGATCATCATGTTTAAAAAAGAACTATGATAGTTTGCTTGATGGTGTACAATCATAATACTAAACCTACCCTCTGGTAATTTAACGTAGCTATTGAAAATGACCCACTTATAGTGGATTTTCCCATTGTAAATGGTGATTTTCTATAGCTATGTTAAATTACCAGAGGGTAAATCATCATGGAAGTTTCATTAGAGTAATTATACATCAATGTTTTCCATAGTGTCACCAGAAACCTGGACCTGGACGTTTTTGAACATGGAATTGTCATGAAAAAAGAAAGCCGTAAAGACAAACAACGCTGTCTATTGAATATAATCTGGGTAAATTATAACGACCTCACTGCGACCTCACTGGAATCATGGTTAATAAGGGAAATCATCCCCAAAAGGCCCTAATTCAGGTTAGTGAATTATTATAATTTGCCCAGATATAATGGTAGAGCTAAATTTTGAAATATGCAATCTTCGAAAGCACAGTAAATCTGAGTGAAATAGTGTTACTTGTTTGGTAAATGACGTGTCAATTGTTTTCCATGGGGGGGTTCCATAGAAAATCTCTGAAACAAACATATCCTTTAGCAGGGAACGGATGGGGCACCAAGAAGCATCTCATCATCTCTAAAGTATAAGTTTGGCCCTCGAATTCTGATGTTTCGGTTCACCTTTGTTGGGTAGTTTATATATACACAATGGTTATTCTATGTTTTTTTTTTGTCGGCTGTATTTCTTTGGTTTTATGAATTGGGAAGTATTATACTTATCATATTTTGACTGCCAATCAATAGCCTTTGTACTGTGTGTCCGTACTTTGCCATTATTTGATACCATGTCTGCCCTACAGATTTTAGTCTGCAGACAACGCAGACCTTTGCCTGCAAACCTCTCTGAGATCTACAGTACGCATTGATTCGCTCACAACAGCATTGGGCACTTACACAGAACAAATACCATTGGATCACAAAATGGTATCAAGAGCTTACTTCTTTAACAGTTCAACATGCCACCAACTGATAGATAACATTATGATATAATTATAGTAATACAAACAACCAAACAATGATGAATCATGTTCATTCCACACGCATCCTGCATCCACTGGCTCGGCGAATTGTTTTGAGAGGAACTTCACAAGCCAATATCGCTGGATTTCAAAACAAATCGATCATTTGAAATCCATTATTTTTTTGTAAAACAATCACAATCAAACCATCCCCCCAAATCACCAATTTAAATCATTCCCAGTCGTTGGCGGTTTATGACATTGTTTTACCCACAGAAGTGTTGGTCAAAGCCATGGATGGCGACACGACGGGTCCATTGGAACCATCGGTGCCCTGGAAGTGAATGTTTTGGCCCATAGCCATATGGGTGTAGTACATCCGTACATGATATATATATATATATATATATTATACATACATATATATATATATATATAAATATCTATAGGAATATCACTGGAATCTCTGGATGATGATACATTCGAAATCATTCGAAGTCCTTTGCGCTCTGAGCACCCCAACGATGGGCTTGTTTTGTGTGGCCCTTCTGTGTCAAGCTCCACCTGGAAGTGCTCATCTCACAGGGATAATTCTAGCGGCTTGTTGATGGACGATGACATCGATTCGCTGCTTAGCATGTCATCAGGAAGTGATGCCTTTAAACAAAAAAACGAAGTCGAGGAACACACATACATACATATATATATATATAATATATATATATATTAATATACATATTGATATATATTAATATACATATATATATAAATACATATACATACATATATATATATTAATAATATATATATATATATTAATATACATATATATATACAGGGGATGAAGCAACGCATTTTTCACGGGGGCCGGAGAGGTGATGACAGACTGGACAACCCTGCAACCCTGAGGGTTGCACCGTTGCACCATGAGAACTTCTCCAAGTCCAGGCATAGTTGGTCTCACAACCTTCCTTGCCGATGCAAATGTTGCACTCAGATTTGTCGACATAAAACTTCACTTTGCAACATGATTTCATGGTTGCAACTGATGTACGCTCCACACAATGGACTTGAAGGGCCTCATGAGTGGATTCTCAGCAAGATGAAAACCAATATCGATAGGCTTCTATCGGATTGGTGGTTTCACAGATGTGTGCATGATATTCACAAATCATGTTGTGCTGAACATCACTCCATTCTCGAGGCATTTGAGGTATTCTCACGGCGAGTCTTTTGGATGGTATCAAACGTGTGTTTGTTGTCCGATTGAGTGGTTAGGAAGCTAACTAATCAGCTATCAGTATCCATATTTCATGATTTGTCCAATTTTCCAAGGAGCTACCAAGAGATTCCTAGCCGTCCTAGCCACATGATCCCATGTGACTTTCATAGGGCGGGGTGACCCACAGCTCCGGGAGAGACAGCCATCAGGATTCAAGAAAACAAACAATAGGCCTTGCATCTAAGACCTTGGGCCTCACACTTTGATATATGCTATTGAAAATTGTCATTTATAGTGGATTTACCCATTGAAAATGATGATATGTATCTGGTTGGTGGTTTGGAACATGTCTTTTTTTCAATATCTTGGGAATCTCATCATCCCAACTGACGAAGTCCATCATTTTTCAGAGGGTTGGTCAACCACCAACCGGATAGGATTTAGCCAGGTGAACAGTGGCTTGGTTGATGCATGTTGATGATTCTATGGGACTTTACTAGCCTGTATATATATATATATATATGTATATGTATATGTATATTTATGTACATATCTGCCATGATCATCCATGATCAAAGACTGGTGCCATCAATATCCCTTTGGTTGGGTCGATATAGAAATCTCCGAAGTGCCACAATGTGAGGCCAGTGATGCTGTTGGTTAACTTCCATTCACCACCATAAAATGGTTGAGATTATCAACGGTGTTTATAAATCCCATATGTATCCATATGTTGTATTATAGTTTGGTATGTATATTATATATATATAAATTGTTTATGACTGGTTTATTGTATATCCACCATAAACCAGAGAATTCTTACCAAAAGATTTAAGCGTCAACGGGAGCCTCCCAGGTGTTCATTTGTCCCATCACCCACGCCATGTTCCGCGATCCGGTGTTTGTCCCAGAGAGTGGCAACACCTACGAACGCTCTGCATCTTGCTGGCAGCAGTGCATCATCTCTATAGGTCTGGGTAAATGAAATAACGACCTCACTGCGCTCCCGAATCCTGGAATCATGGTTAGTAAGGGAAATCATCCCCTTTTATGGCCGCAAGATTCAGGTTAGTGAAATATTATAATTTACCCAGATAGGTCAATCTTGGATGGCTAGTTAGTTTAATCCTTAGATATCTTTAGTCTTTTGGTATTAATGGGATTTAATGGGGATTATCTACGTTAACCGTTCACCAGCTAAGAATCTAATTCTTGTGCAGGGAATCTAAGATTGGCCATCTACAATGCCCATCATGACCGAGGTCCTTTAAGGTGGTTCCATTGATCATCCACCATGGTTTCCCGGGGTGGTGTTTATGACCACTACTTGTGTTGTCCTAGGTTTAAAACCAATATTTCATCCAAATTCAACATGTGCCCTAAGTTAAGCTGGTTCCAAACCAACCGAACTACTATAACAAAAGAAGTTTTTTGTGGATAATTCGACCATAAAGCCGAGTGACGATGAGTTCAACACCGCCAAGGCCTTACCAAAGGTCTTACCCTCTGGTAAACTAACATAGCTATTGAAAATTGCCATTTATAGTTGATTTACCCACTAAAAATGGTGATTTTCCATAGTTTTTTGTATGTTTACCAGAGGGTACCAAAACACCCTTTTTTCGCTGCAGGCGATTCAGACGCATTGGTCCGCGCAAAGGAAACGCCGCGACCCGTTGACCAACGTCCTCTGTGCAGGATCTCTGTGACTGGACACTGGGAAGAAGGGCCCTGGAAGATGGGGAAGAAGTGGTACACCTTGTGTTCAGTCGGATCCTTGCTAAATCATTATGTAGAGTTATATAGTATATATTGATAATGATTAACAGACTATACAGTAATATAATAATTCATATATATATACACCCTATATTCACAACTCAAGTGGCCCCAAGCAATCAAACTTGTTCATCGATTATTTGCTTGAAATCATCCCATGTTCGTCCTTTCACCACATCTATTCTTCGTCACCCTTCTTTGTTACCATTTCTCACGGGAAGACAACATATAAGGAAAATCATCTCCAGCTTCGATTGCCACATGGTATCTCGGTATGGGTCAACATTAAAAACTACGTTCGCAAGATCCCCTCTGGTAAACTAACATAACTATGGAAAATCACCATTTTCAATGGGAAAATCCACTATAAATGGTAATGTTCAATAGCTATGTTAAATTACCAGAGGGCAATTCTGTCTCAAAATTATATAGTGGTTGATAGTGGTTGAACATCTAAAAATCCTGTTAAAATAACCAGAGATTGGGATACTCCTCGGTTGAAATGATTCGCCATTTTCAGACAGACTCAAGTCATAAATCGTTGTTTTGTGTCCTGTGCATTTGTCTCTTTGCTTGATATCCAATTACAGTATATCGATTATACCGTTATACCTCTCTTTTATCTTGGCCAAAGTGTGAATAGAGCCCTATTTTTGCTGTGTGAATATCCCCATGATCCGCCTCGCTGCGAGGCACACCAATTGGGGTCTTCGTCGAGAGGTGCAAAGTTTCCTGGACGAACATGTGAACTACGTCCCTGCGGGTTGGGAGGCGCGAAGTGGGGTTGGTGGCTTCTAAAACACTGGCTGGTTGGTGGTTTGGAACATGGCTTACATGGCCATTGAAATAGTGGATTTACCCATTGAAAATGATGATATGTATCTGGTTGGTGGTGACTGGAACATGGCTGGATTATGACTTTCCATTCAGTTGGGAATTTCATCATCCCAACTGACGAACACTCCATCATTTTTCAGAGGGGTAGGTCAACCACCAACCAGATAGGATTGAGCATGATTTAGCCAGGTGAACAGTGGCTTGGTTGATGAATGTTGATGATTCTATGGGACTTTACTAGCCGCGCCAATATATTGGGGAAGATCACCAGCGGAAGTCACAATCAACCAACCAGTGGCTCCAATGAATATGAAAGGCCAAGGGCCCACCGAAAGAATAGGTCATGTCAATAGGCTAGCTAACCTGCTTGGATTATGGTAGTATAATGGTAATATATCTAAAGTCAGATGGCTTTAAGCCCTTTTCGATAATCAAAATCAATATCCCTTGAGATCTGATTGTTTACCGTTCCATTGCTTGGATGTTTTGGACCAAAGTATGAAATGAGACTATAATAGACTGTAACCATGGATTGTATACGGTAATCCAGGATGATTATGGATGGAATACAGTATCCCCAGTTTTTTTCATGGAATATCATCGGAATATCCCAACTCTCACGGGCTAATATATATATATATACATGTTCTTGGATTATTATAGTTATGTACTATCCGGATAAATTCCAAATTACCTCGCTGCGACGGACCTCACTAGAATGATGGTTTATATATGTTTATTTATGTGTATATATACATAGGAAAGCATCCCCAAATGCCCTTATGATATTTTTGTTCAGGTTAATGAATTAGTATACCCCCTCATTATCTCATTCTTGATGGTTATATCAGCTTAAAGCTGTGGGGCCTTGCCGCTGCCACAACGCCAGGACCGCAACTTGCCACCCATCGAGACGGCCAAAGCAGCCGCAAATGCAACGCAACGCGGAAAGGGCTGTCGGAGACACATGGCAACCGCTTCGGGTGGTATTTGTTGGATCCTTTGATTAGTCCTTCAATGTTGGGTAATGTGGATAATGGTGGTTTTATTGGTGGATAATGTTTGGATAATCAGTACTTCAATGTCGTTTGAATTAGTTGGAATTAAAATTGTCATGAAAAGGAATGTTCTAGGAGTGTCCCATTTTGGGAATTTCCACCTTTAAAAAAGACAATACAATGATGTTGGTAGTTTGTTATGTTTTATTTTTATTTCTCTGTCAATGGGATGTTTCCTCATGAATCAGCGATGTGATTTCTTGCGAGGTGCCTAAGATTGGCCATGTCTTGTCCAATATCTTTTCACAAAGATCAACATAGTTGATCATGTTTTTTTGTTATCTGGAATTCCCGTTATTCTTGAGCAAATTTCGATGTTCATATTTTCCTTCAAACATAGTCCACCACCATTCTAGGCGCATTTTTTTTTTCCGGTTTGACCCACATGCCTTTGTTCTGAGTACTGCATGAGCTGAACGAAAGGTGTGGTTTACAGCACGTTTACTGTTGGATTGCAACGCAAAATCGGGAAGAGGTTTTTTCTGGTTTCCTTACGATTGGTTCCCTCATTGGTTGCCTCATTTTCCTTCCATCGGTGAACCTCGGATACTTTTTTACAGATGTTTCGCCAACTGGTAATCAACCATGACTGGAAATCCCTGAACGACTGGTTGAACGACACGCGTTTCAAATTTAGTTAAGCCACCCTTCATAGGTTACAAGATGGTTCTTCTTCTCAAAACACAATGCCCCTTGTCTTGCATGCCACTGGGGTTTCGTCAGCAATTGGCGAGGAAGAAGCAAATAGTTGTATGTTTCTGTTGGATGAAAGCATCGCAAAGAGTTGTGTGTTTCAAATGTTTGTCTGCTGGCAATTGAACAGTTTAAGAACTGCTATAGACGGCCCATTTAGTTCGATGATTTACCAATTTGATAATGATGATGTTCCATAGCTACGTTAAATTGCCAGAGAGATCACTGAGCATTTAAGATGTCATCATAGGTTGAGGCATCAGTATGTTTCTTGATGGTGTTGTTTTTTCCCGGTTGCCAATCTTTACTGAGGAATCGCCTTCTGGACACTGAGTCTTTTGTTCTCCATGGCTGTATTGGTGGCCGCTACAGCTGCAGGATTGCTGTGTTAGGACTGTATGGACTGCATGGATGTTCCTCAAAGATCCACAAGTTTACCTGGCTACATGCCGAAGTCTATCATGCTCTAGCTATTCGTATTGGCACTTGGAATTCCCAAATCAAAAGACTTACGAACGTAAACTATCGCAGAAAAGCGCCCCCGCAGAAGTGGCTGTGATACAGACTCTGAAACGGCTCTGAATCCAGGGTCGCAAAGGGGTCAACTGGGCAATGCAGAAATGCCTGGTGGTTGATGGTTATCTAATGTAGTTTGGGGCTATACTAAAGTGGTTTCTTGGAATGCACTATCCTTCATGTGGGAACTCCGTGGTAACCAGCAGCCAATTGTGCCATGTTTGGCACAACTGGACACCATTCTCAATTGATCATGGATGGGCAATGAACAAATTACTCAGCCAAGAAATGTGAACGAAGCTCATATAACCACATATAACCCATATAACCATCATCATCATCATCATCATCATCATCAACCAACCCTCCTAGGGACCATCCCCACTTTTGAAGTTTGATCCACAGCATTTTGGGCTGATTAGAGCCATGACATCCTCATTGTTGTTGCTTACATCCTATTATCCTTGGCTTTATTTGATCCACACAACGAATAATAAGAAGAACAGCAAGACCAGAATCGCAGACCTATGTAATATATATATATACATGTACAATTATATATATATATGTGATATTTGAATACACACTTTGAAATTAATATAGTATAATAACTATTATATATATATGTATATCAATAAATTAGTAAAACTATATACAATTTTGTATGCATTTAGATAGAACATAAATAATTGTATTCATTGTAAGAACTTTTATACATCCATATAATCATGTATAGAATGTATATGTATATATGTATATGTATATATGTATATATAATTATATATACATATATATAATTATACATACATATACAAATATACATATATACATATATATATATATATATATACACATATATGCTGTAGATCTAAACATTCACACACCTCTTTTCTTCCGCTATGCAGACCTGATTTGTCCCAACATTTCACGCCAAACCGGAGCACAAAACATCCCCCTCTTAGATGCGTCCTGGACCCCAAACCGGGAAACACCAGGCCTCAAGCACTTCTTAGGACAAAAAATCAGACTGACGTCATTCATTGGTACATACATTTTGGACATACATATTCACACATATATAATTATATATATATATATGTATACATACACACTGTATCTATATATATATATACAGTTTATATGCTAGATTGTATACATCCAAGATGTATCTAAAAAAACAAACAATGGAACGACAGCTTTAAAATTCGTATCTCCCATCGCCAAGGAACACCTGAGGGCCGAAAGCGCTTTCTACTGGCCCATCTTGGAGACGTCGGATGTTGGCGGGGTGCCGCTCAAGGTGCCCAAAGGCTCCCGTCTCGAAGCTTGGAAGGTGCCTTCACCATGAAACATGGCGGCTTTACCAAGGAAATATGAGGGGAATATCAGATGATAAGGATATTTCATGGGATATAGTAGGGTATAACCAAGAATTCTGAGAGGGTTGATATACCATGATGTACCCAACTGTAGAATCTAGGTTGACTCTTTGTGGGGTTGATGAAATATCCATGGTGTTTTTGTTACATCAGCAACCGTGGATTTCAGAAAACCTGGGATAGAAACACCAAGCGTTCACCATCAAGAATGGGGGTTGTCTTGTCCAAAGCTACAAAGAAATGTGGTATTCCCAGATAATACTAGTTCATGAATAAAAGCACACACACACACACCTTCAAATATATAAACTATGAATTCGATCCATTTTATGTTGACATTTAATGTTTTGCTTAAATCTCAATGATATATCCATTGTATCCCATTTATTTATGGTCAGTTTTATACCCAACTTTTTTGGGTGTTAAATCCAAACTAGAGCCAGGTGAAGGGTCGTTTGGTCATCCAGATTCCGGCTCCGGGAATTCAGGCGCCGACTGCCCGAGGGCAAAGTGGTGCAAATTTGATTCGCCATGGAAAACTTCATTTTAATATATCTAGCACAACGTTTTAACACACTTGCTATATATAACAGTGTTGATATATTTATCTAGCAAGTTTTAGTCAGTTTAATATATCTAGCCATATCAAATCACTTTATTTTTTTAAAAAAATGTAAAGACACACACTTAGCCATAAATCCTGTGATCTAGTGATTCGAGAAGCATTTTATAGGATTTTATAGGGAGTTCATCAACAAACTGAGTTGACAACTAGTGGAAGATGTTCAAATGCAGATCGTTAACAGGTCGTTGAATATTAGTTTAAGAATACGTAAGCCAGGTCAGATAGGCAAAGTGTTATCCTTCTTTTGAACAAAAAACACGTGGTAAACCCAATGCAATAAACGACACCTCACCTTTTTTGTGGATGGGATTTCAATGATCCCCAGTCATGCTAGATGAAGAAACCACAGCCGCGGCTGTGGAAAATTCTGGGGCCTAGTGCCTATCGTATCCACCTTACCCAAGAGCCGTTTCCCGCGCGGAAACGCGCCAGGGCAGCATGGTGTGTCAATTGATGTTCTCCGTGCTCTGGTTGAGCTTCGCAGCTCTTCGAACAGAGGGCTGCCTGTGTGGTCCACCCGGGGATGATAGATGAATCGACATGGCACAGATTTCGGCCAAGGATTGGATTGAAAAGGTGTACGGACAAACTAGTCAGAGGATGTTATATATATATATATAGATGTGATTAGATTTGTAATGATTTGAGTATAATATAGTCCCTCCCAGATTGGACAGCTGATGATTTCAACATGTTTCAACCGGACAATCATCCCCAATGACCTTAGTACATTTTTCAGGGTGGTTTTCTCAACCACCAACCAGGTATAGGCCAAGAAGACTGGGGTTGTAAAGCCAACCATTTTAAGTTTTTTTTTGGGGGGGAACTATATAGAACCTTGGGATACAACATGACATGAATCAACACTATTATGAGGTTGTCCAAAGCCAGTGGTTTACCCCCAAACGGTGGGGAAATTCAACCAAAGAATATATTTGGGTGTCAAGTTGTTTTTTTCTCACAACGGGGGACGCTCAAAAAAGCGTGTCACTCTGATATTTGAAGATGGAACATGGACCATTTAGAGACAAGTTACACGAGTTACCGACATACAGCACAGGTTGTCCAGTGTTTGTGTGAAATTACCAGAGGGTATAGAACAAGAGGGGGTTGAAGTATGTTGAAGTAACCCTTTTTCAGACAAAACCATGAGGGGTAAATTCTTAATAAACCTACAATACCGGGATCATATACAGTTACATGACCCATGTTCGGTGTAACTTGGGGATGGTTTCTATTCGATGTACCATGTGTGTGGGAATGCAAAGTCATGATGGTTTGGGGATTTACAGCCATGACTCCGGCTTAATTGAGAGCAAATATGCATGGAACAAAATAGGCAAGTTGATCATTAGATCATGGCTTGGACAGCAGAAATAATAACAAGAGCAACAACAAGAGCCACAAGAAGAAGAAGAAGAAGAAAAAGAAGAAGAAAAAAAATATACTTTGGTCCTGAAACCCTCCAAGTCCATATCGATCTACATCTTAGAAACTTTGAAGTAGATCCCTCAAATCACCAATAAAAATCTTCGGACTCAGACCTCTCCCAGTTTTCCTCAACGACTTGGCTCAGATTTCAGGTCTGCTATTGGACCTTCACTGCTTGGAACACTGGTGTGCGGCTGTTCGTTGCCTTCTCTCTTCCCTTCTGGGCTGTGGGTCTGATGTCGCGCGGCAAAAACGCAAAATGACAGGAACCCCCGAAATTATTTAGGGCTAAGAATCATACTTCCCCTTAGATGTTCCCACAAACCAAACCACTGAAAGCACAAAGCTCCATTATTGCAATGTAAAACATATGAAGAAAAAATAACCAGGTGGGCAGCCCAACAATAAACCTAACATTTTGGGGATGGTTTCTACCACTCACAAAAATGTGGGTCTTGGGCATTGTTTATTTTTGGGTTTACCAACTTTAACAGAATGTAATGAACAGAAACAAACATTTCTCGTTCGCCTGGTTGGTGTTGCAGATGAGTTGCGATAACCCTCCAAAGGTTGGGTTAGTACCCTCTTGTAATCTAACAATACGGTATGGGACATAGCAATAAATAGCACATTTATCGAAAGATGGTGATTTTCCATAGCCATGCTAGATACATAAAGAAGTTCTTCCCTCGTTGCTTTCTCTGTGGATCAACGCTGGGCCAATCGACAAGATTCCGAATGGGACAGAACCCTGGGAAAACCATGGGAAAACCCTGGGAAAACCATGAGAAATATGGGAAAACCATGGGAAAACCATGGGACATATGGGAAAACCATGTTCCTCCTGGTAATGTTGTGAAGATAAGCCTTGTGGGCTTATCTTAGAAATTTTGAATCTTGAAAAAATGCAGCATGTAAGGGGATTGTCCACCAAAGGCTTCAACTGATTCTTGGGTCACCATGTCACCCACAAAATTAGCCACAGCTGATCATCATTTTCCGCATGAAAATCACCGCAAACTGAGGTAAACGGGAGGACACAACCAAAAATAGAATGGTCGGTGAATTGGTGGAATTGAATTGTTGATGCTTGTTGGCAAAAATTGCTGATTGCTAATCCTTAATTAGCAACATGTGATGCGCAATATTGTTAATGCCTTATCTGCTGGAATCTGAGAAATGATAAATAGATAAAATAGAATCCTCTGTTCATCATCAAATGTCTCATTTGTTTTTTTCTTGCCAGTCATCGTTTTTTTCCAAGTTGCATCAGCCACAAACAATCACAGGTCACAGCACAAGAGCCTCACCATAAATGGCCAGGACACTATAAAGAAACGCATTAGCAGAATCACTGATGCATGCAGTCTTGAAATTAGATATCCACACAGCTTCCCATATCCTGTTACAAGCCTCGCAACCTGCCTTTTCCTTGGAAGCTCTCGCTTTTTCCTCTGTGTTTGCTGTTTTTGTTCACATCACTGAGGCAAGATCTCTGAGCAAATCATGGTCCAACCCTGGCCGGGAAAAAGCCACACACCTCCCGACCTCCCACTATTTAAAACTCTCACAGATCGATTTTGCATAGTTGTCTTATGTTGTTTTGCTGAGTTCCTGAAATTTCCTGAAAGAAGTGGTCTTACCTTTTCATACCTTTGCCGTATATGTCGTTTGGTTTCCTGTTTGGTTTTCCCTTTGATTTGTGAGAAGTGAGACACTACAAAATGATTCCTGTTTTTGTTTCACTGGAAAACAAATCAAGTCCAAATATACCCAAATAATATAATAACATATAATAACTAGTTGTCCTACAGATAGATGCACTAGAGAAAAAACATACAGTAAAACAACGAATCCCTGCGCCCTCATCTTAAAAACCCCCTAGAAACCATGGTAGAAAGTAGGGGATGAAATCCATACAAGGGGAGTAACCCATATGAAGGGGGGATGGGATTACATCCCATTATATACATCGAATCATATTATATCCATATCATTGTTTCCATTAAAGCGATATTAAACTCCATATGATTCAGTACATGATACCTATCCATCCCTATTCATCATTTCATCCCTATCCCTTTTTATCCATATGAATCCCTGTGAATCCCCATATCTTGTATTATCTTCCCAGCTTCCCATAGTGATCTGTCTTTGATTTAATGTCCACGGCCTTCCAGGCTCTTCTTCAGCACCATGCTGACGCCCAGCTTGTCGCAAACCTTGACAGCCAGTCCTTTGGAGTACCAGGCGTCGCTGAAGATGTGGAATTTCAGCAACAACACATATGGGGTTATAGGCAACCATAGTGTTGGTATTGGATCTAATGGTATTGTGGGATATCTACTCTATAGCCAACAAGATCATCTGAGTGTTTCCGAAAAAAAATGCTGGAGCTGCCCACGTGATGGCACTTTTTTTGATTCGGAACATGGTCAGCAATGATTTTTTTGGAGTACTCCACTTTCAGACAAAGCCCTTTTTGTGAAGCCATGAAGATCCCCGAATATGGTTCTTTAATGTGGTTTAAATAGTGCTGTTTTTTGGTAGGATTGCCAACCAGCCGTGTCACACATCTCCATGTTAGTTCCCGAAAGATGTTGATTGCACCGATCTCCTCTGCTGGTTTTGATGATCATGTTTTTTGGTTTATAAATTCTCATGTTTGTTGCTGTTTGTCGCCCAAATTCCTGGCAATTTGAAGCATCTCAATGGTTCTTTGTTGGTTGAAGCTGGTGAACCTCCTTGCAGTAACTGGGTCAACCAGCTGGGTCTGGGTAGTTTGGTATACTAACCATACAATCTCTTGCTATAAATGAGGAAAGCTTCTCCGCGCCAGGCGCCATGTTTTTATGATTTTCTTATGCAGATTGGCTATGTCTAGTCTTTGAACAGGCTTTGGCTCCTAACGAATGCCATTGATATATAGAACAGGAGTTTTTTCGAGGTCCAACGGTCCAACTCTTCAGGGCCCAATTGGTGAAAACCAGCTTCTTTGTATCACTGGCATTGGGCTTGTCCCATGGTTCGATGTGCTTAAAACAATCAGAAAAACCATCCCAAGGTCATCACCGTTCTCATATATAGGTGGTAAAAAGCATTGTTAAAAATGGGTGGTTTATATGTTTATGACATTGTTTTAACTACATTATTCCAATTATTAACCATTAATCACAATGATTAAGCATTAATCACCATTAAATGAACCATTAATTACCCATGGCTAGTTCGGGGATTTCCCGGCCACCCTTCAGCGGAGCCCAGTGGCGATGGCTTTGTGACAGGTGAAGTCGCAGGTCTTGCGCTTGGGAATTTCCCGTTTCGCCGCCAAGGCCCGACTTCAGGGGGAATCATCCGATGGTATCGGGGTAAATTATAACGACCTCACTGCGACCGAGCCCTGGAAATCATGGTTAATAAGGGGAATCATCCCCTTTTATGGCCTTAATTCAGGTTAGTGAAATATTATAATTTACCCAGATGGTATATATCTGGTTGGTGGTTTCAAACAGTTTTTATTTTCCACAATATATGGGAATGGGATAATCCTTCCCATTGACTGTAATATTTTTCAGAGGAGTTGAAACCACCAACCAGAATAGATGGAATATATGGAAGAAACAATATTGGATGAATCATCCCCTGAATAGATATTATAGAATACAGTATCTATATCTGAATCATCCATGTTTAGGGGATTTAATGGAATATGTAACCACCAATATGATATTTGGGTGTGTCTGAACATGTAAGGAATTCCACACACACAAAAAAAAACACATTTTAGGAAGGGGTACCCTATTGGGAGATAAACTCATGTGAATGTGACAGTTCTTTTTTCGGTGGTTGCAGGTATGGTTACAGGTATGGTTGCATTGATCTTCTGAAGACAAGTCAAAGTGACATGCGAGTTTAAAGTTTCAGGGATTGTGATTGGACAATAAGGGTTCGGAGGCAATGTTCATGAATATGGAATGATGAGCATTGGCATCCAAAGGTTTTCTTCATTGACATTGTGGGGACGCAGCCAATCAATTACAGTCATGGACATGGTGAGAAAACAGCCTGTGACTGTGCAATGTTGTTTGTTTTGCATTACTTGTAGCAGAGATGAGAAGACGCATCCGTGAAAATCCACTTTCAAAACCCCTATGGGTAGAGGATTCATTTGGGAGTTACTAGATGTTACTATTATCCCAGATGAATTCACTATATTGGGGATTCAGCATCTATGAACTGGGGAATCGCTAACCCGGCAGAACCATGGATTTTTCAGATTCAAACCAGACACTGTTTCCAGGGGTTTATGCTCTGGAAAATGTCGCATGATTGTTGGCCTTTTGTTTACATACCATCTGGTTATGACTAACAGTTCGCCATGGAAAATCACCATTTTTTAGTTCGGTAAACCATCTATTTCTATGGGCCATCTATACCATCATATATCCTAATTAATCACATTAATTCCCATTAAATCACCATTAAACCACCATTAAACCACAAATAACCAGAGGGTATCTACTGAATGGCTGAAAAGGTGACGAAGCCCTCTGAGGTGACAGATCTTGAAGAGGTTCCTGGACTCATTTGCATGCCACTTCGGCGCCACTTTCAGGACCAACTTAAATGGCTATTTGAACTTCGGATGATGGTTTTATCCATGGTTTTCTCCATAGAAAATTGGAAGATCCATGAAGATCACTGCTTGAGGAACACGACTTCCGGCTTTCGTTTAGGATGAACACTTAAATGTGAAAAACACCTCGCTGCTCGATGGTGAAAGGTTCGAATCTTTTGCTGACACCCCAAGTGTGCTCTGAAAACATTTTCTCAGGATGTGCTATTGGAAGTTCAAGATTAATGCTTTAACCAATGCCAAGGCAATTTAACGTATGTTCTGTTTACCCTGTGTTGCCAATCCTACTTACCGATGATCTCGATTGAATTATATATATACAAATATACATATCTATATATATATACATATACATATATACATATATATACATATATTATATGATATATATATATATATGTTCATGGAATAGCTCGAAAACACCAACTAGAGCTGCAGTGTTCTTGCCAAGATAGGTTGGAGGCAGATACACCAGAAAAAAAAAACAAGAAAGTCGATTCAGAGCAGACACCTGACTCTGGGCCCTGATTTGGGATGAAAACCATTGAAATACCATATTTCAGTGGATAACAATCCGTATTAGTACATGAAATATCCAGCTGATTGCACAGAAACATCGATAGTTTAACCTAAATACAATACTTAATGTATGATGGAAACATGCAACCCAGCCATTAAACATCTATGGATACCAGCCATTTGGGTAAGCCGAAATGGGTGTCCTTGAAGCTGCCCATCCAAGTTGACCTGGAAAGTTTGGGAAGTTTTCCTCAAGTGGCTAATATATACTATATACAGTATATGAATGTGGATATAATGTGTACATATCATATTATATTACATAATATATATATATACATATGATGTATAATATGTTATGTATAATTAATTTTATACAATAGATATCTATAGATTATATATAAATACATAAAATCCACCATTAGTCCAGTACTGAGGTGTATGTATTATATATATATATAAATATTATATATATATAATGGAAGCACCTAAAATCCGTAAAATGGTTGATACGGATGCAAGTTCGAACTGAATGTTTGAAGTGTGATTTCATGTTTTTCAAAACTCAGTGTCCAGTCTCATCCATTATCCGTATACTCTTGCTACTGTATCCTTTGGTTACTTAACGTAGCTGTGGAAAATCAAAACAAAAATGATAATGATAAAACCATTAATAACCATTGATTGTGAACCATTAATTATGAACCATTATTAATTAAGATTAATTAAGCATTATTAACCATTGTCAACAATTATTAACTATTATCAACAATTATTAAACAATATCAGCAATTATTGACACTTATCAACCATTATCAACAATTATTAAGCATTATTGACCAGTATTAACCATGATTAACCATTATTAGGTGCCATGATTAGCCATATCATATGGGCTTACTATTTGTTTATAATATCATTATAAGGTTTACTATGTTTTTTAATATATCATTATATGGCTATAAGGTTGGCTAATAATATTATATGATCTTGTAAGGATGATAGCCGTTATTAGTCATTTTATAATGGTTATTAGCCATATCAAATTTCTAATATGGTTACTAATGGTCATTCATATGTTCCATGTATGTTACTAATTATTTATATTATCCATAATAATTGGTGGATAATGGTGATAGTGGTTACTAACCATATTGTTGACCATTATTAACCATCAATCAGTATTATTCATTAGCCATTACTAATATCCATAATAGTCCATTAGTAGCATTAGTACATATTATTAACATATACTAACCACACTAAGTATTAACCATTATTTTTCTAGTATTGATATATAAATATTCTTACATATAAATATAATAGTAATTTGATAGAATATCTAGTAATATAGGTTAGTACTACTAATATTAGTAGTACTATTGGTTAATTATATAGTACTTACATATAAATATACCACTACTAATATCTTAACCAATGATCCCTATCTCGTTCGGCGCGTCTCTACACATCCAGGTCGGATGCTGAATGCAGGCCACCTGGCAAATAGAAAGCGATGAAAGCGCGATGCAAAACCACAGGGTACCGGACTGTACCCTAAAATAACTGGTTTATGGATGTTTATTCGCCCCATCTAATACGTATATATATATATATATAAGCAACCGTAAAAACCCCGGCAATACTAAATATGTATTCGACGGACATTGGTTTATGGAAATTGATGGAAATTGTTAAAAACACGAGGTAAGCGATTGGACCTTCCCAAATTAGCGATACCCCTTTTCAAGGTTATGTCATCATATTTCTCTAATATCCACATTAGCGATACCCAAATATCACATATTATTCATAGTTCATCACATATATATATATAAATGCAGCAGTTTCCTGCAAGTGATACCCCCCAAGTTTACCATATATCATTATTGTACAAACGTGTGGAAAGCGATGGGACCTTCCCAAATTTGTGGATGTCCTTTCCGTGACCCTAGGGTTTTCACAATCGCTCATATATATATATATATACTGTGTATATATATATATATATTTGTTTATTTATTGATTTATATATTTATGATTATTTATGTATATAATATATTTTAAATAGGTTTCGACACAACAGAAAATGGTGATTTAGCCGACAGAAATGGTGATTTAACCAACAAACATGGTGGTTTTTGCTGGGGAGATAAAGGGATAATTTCTGATATGTTTTTTTACGCGATGTCTATAAAAGTTACCCTCTGGTAAACGTTTACATAACTATGGACAATCACCATTTTTAATGGGAAAATCCACTATTTCAATGGCCATGTTTAATAGCTATGTTTGTTTACCAGAGGGTATCCGTAATTACTGTAGTCTTATGACCATTTTGGGGATTCAACCAACAGAAATTGGTCCCAAAATCAACGTGGAAATGCTGGTGATTTACAGTAAGCAACAAGAGTGGTGGTATAATTTTGGTTATATCATAGGATATAGTTACTGATGTCATGGGGATTTCATAAATTATAACCACCTCAAGAGGTAGCTACTTATCAACAAAAAGACATATTTCAGTTTACTGAATGATACCTGCTTATTCCAAGGCATCTCCATGGCTACTACGAATTCTTCGAATGTTTTTTGTTCCCGTAGAAAACCTTGTCGGTGATCCGTGCGAAGAGACTGAGGCTGATCCTTCAAGATGGTGTGCAAGAAATTGCCTTTGGAGGGGATCTGAAACCAGTGGCAACTCAGCAGAAATTCAACCCACAATTGACTCACTTGACTCCCAGGAAGCCACTCGTCCGGAACTTGGAAACCTAAGCCCTAAGCGATCGATGGACTGTTCTTTTGATGTCTAAATGGCAGCAATCGCCGCCAGTTGCCAACTTGGATTCTACATGAATTCACCACGACAGTGCTGTTCGCTGAGCGTCAAATCAACCGGAAAACTGAGGATGGATTAGACCCTCCAAATCCTCAAAATGGATTAAAGTCCCAAAATAATGATTACCACATTGTTCAAGGTACTTAGAGGGTCTACACTATAGGAAACTCTATAATTGGACGAGTTGCATGTGACCTTTTACCATGACCAGTTCAAGTAACGGAACTCGGCCGAACTCGGAGTACCAATGTTGGAGTCTCCATTGAAATAGCCGTGGTTTGTGAACTGCAGGAGCGGCTCCAATGCAAAAACCCTCTGGTAAACGTTTACATAACTATGGAAAATCACCATTTTCAATGGGTAAATCCACCATAAATGATCATTTTCAATAGCTATGTTAAATTACCAGAGGGTAACATGTTTTTCACATGTTATTCAACCCATTCCAATCCCCATGCGACACCCAAAAACATCCGAGGAAGTGAGATGGATCCAGAAGCAACTCTGCAGCCATTGGGGCCTGGATGTCTCTGAATGTTTGGCCAACGCCCAGAAACCACGGCACGCGGATGGGGAGGACGACAGTACGAGCGACCACTGGTAGAGCGATGCTCCTGTGGAGATTTTCTGTGCGGGAGAAAAAGGGAGCAGGCCAGTGAACTTTGGGATACCCCTGGTGTTTAAGAAGAACCCTCAATGTTTGTAGACTTATGTAGACTTCAGAAGTTAGATGTTTTAAGTTGACATTGATGTGTCGCTTCCGTTTGACGAGATTCATGTGCAGCTACAAACGGTTTTCAGAAAATCCAAGGAGATCTTCAGCGTGTTTGGAATCCGTTGGATCTCTTCAGCAATCAAACATGACCGACTACATCTGATTGCAAAATCATCAGAAAACACTGGGCACATATGGGCGATTCATGGATGAGAAAATCAGTTGCCATCTCAAGCTACTGGTAAGTCATCCAACAGCATCCTCACAATATGATTTTTTGTAACCAAACGCACCAAACATGGCTTTGCAATGCACCAATTGCACGCTTTTTTACCCATCGAACATGCTAAGGTGTAATAGTGGTAAACCTACCAGAAAAAAACGCGCGCTCTTCTTTTAGGGCCATGTTGAAGCTCCACGATGGTCAAATGGTCATCCCACCTCGCAACGAGGTCCTTCCATGCAGACTTTGCCTCTGCCCCGGAGTGGGGGTCACAACGCCTCGCAGTGCGCCGAAAAACGAGCCGCCGCAAAGGTGGCGAATCAGCGATCGTCTGGTGCTTCTGCATGTTGTAGACAGCAATTTGTAGGTGTTGTGATGGTGATGTTGATTTTGATTTAGATGTTGATTTTGATTTAGATGTTGTTGATGTTGATGTTGGTGATGATGATGATGATGATGAGGAGGAGGAGGAGAGGGAGGAAGAGGAGGGGGAGGATGACGATGACGATGACCAGGACGACGACGACGACGATGATGATAATGGTGATTGATGATTGATGATTGATGATTGATGATCACTGATTGGTGATTCGCGATGTTGACAATTGATGATTGATGATTGCTGACATACTCGTATGTAATATACACTATCATCTCTACATACATAATATCGTATACTATTGAATTGTCATGTTCACTGTTATTTAATGGTGAAGGGGAGCGGGGAGAGGCTCCAACTGCTTAATTTTAAGGCTCGGAATTAGTAGGATTCGGTTCAGAGATCCCATCATGGGTTGGAGATCAGATCGTTTGTGTAATCTAATTTGCGGATGCTTAGTGAAAGGGGTTTGTGTAGCTATGTGTAGCTCATATGTTCAGTCTATTGGTTGTATAGCTAGATATGTTTGTGTAATGCTAAATCATACTAAATCATGCTAAATTGGGATGAATCAACCATGGCTGATGAGTCAGGGGGTTGCCACCATGTGCTATCAAAGTGCTAGAAACATCCAAGAGCACAGGGGTTCGGTACTATCAGTATTGGAGGCTTGCCGTCGGTTCGGAATCATTTTGTTAACAATCATTTATAATTTATAACCATTATCATCCACTATTTACCATTATTTACACCATTACTAGCCATTAGTAGCCCTTATTAACCATTAGTAACCATCATTAAACAACCATTATATATTAGTTAACCATTATTAACTGGGAGATTCCATATGTTTATTGCCCACCTGGTGGATTCATCCCGTTTTTTTAGAGGTATTTGATCAGCTGGATCCCGTCATGAACGCCTCTTGGCCGGCTGAAAAACAACGGGTGGGACTAGGTGGGACCGAGGTCCCACGGATGCTATGAGAAATAGGAATAGCCTCTGGTTATGACTAACATATGGTGGTTTAATAGTGGTTTAATGGTGATTTAATGGGATTTAATAGTGGTTTAATATGGTTTAATGGTGGTTTAATGGTGATTTAATGGGAATTAATGGGATTAATTAGGATATATGATGGTATAGCCTCTGGTTATGACTGTTACATAGCCATGGAAAATCCCAACCATAAATGGGGGTTTATAGCTGGGAAAATCATCTATAAATGGGAGAATCATCTATGAAAATCATCTATACCAACAAATTAAGTTACCCTCTGGTTATGACTGTTACATAGCCATGGTATAGATGGCCCATGAAAATAGATGGTTTACCGTTCTTGAAAATGGGTGGATCTTTCCATGGCTATGTAACAAATAACCAGATGGTAAATAAGATGGTTGGTGGTTTGGAACATGTTTGGATTATTTTCCAGTCAGTTGGGAATTTCATCATCCCAACTGACTCATATTTTTCAGAGGGGTAGGTCAACCACCAACCAGAATAAGATTGAACCAACTAGAATATGATGAGATGAGTATTTAAAAAAATCTGCCTGGCTTTACAACTGGTATTTGTAATTTCTTCAGCGTTTCAGTCCTCTATGCCTCGGGTGCTGATTTCATGGTTAGCCTCACCAGGGTTGCGGGGCTAAGGTACCCCAGTTGATCGCATTAGTTTTTGTTCAAAGTAAATCGTTAAAGACCTCTGGTGTCCCCCATCGAATTGATAAGTTGCCATATTCAGTCTTGGGGGGTACTGTCTGGTAATTCAACCCTACCAATAATTGATGAATTACCATGGTTAGTCAATTGATGTGGTTGGTTATGTTAGTTTCACTATTGAGTTTTAACCCTACCATCAATTTTGGTTGGTTTCACGTTTGATGCTTAGTCAAGTCACATTCTCCCAGGATCGGTTGCCAAGGTGCGTTTGGAGATTCAGGACGTTAGCGTTCCCTTGAGCAAGGCAGGGCGTGGCATGTCGTGGGATGTCAGAAACTCCCTGGGATGGGAGTCTGATGGATTTTACCCATGGAAAAATGTTGATGTTACCCTCAACATCCCTGAAAAAAACGCTGAAAACTACAACAAATGGGGGTTTAATCACCTAATATATAGTGTTTTATAGAATGGCCACATAATTGGGACTTACACATTGGGTACAATGGAAAAGCAACCAGCAAAATTTAATCACATGGTAATGAGTAATGATATAGCAAGAATATCTGGATGAATTTGCATCGCGTTTTTGGCGTCCCTGGACTGACGGTTAATCTCAAGAATTGACCTGGTTTACAGCCGGGTTTTGCAGGTTCGATTGGTGAACATTCTTCATTTTTGTTGGCTAACTTGGTCGTCGACAGAATTCTGGACATGGTCAGTGGGTCATAAGTCATAAGGGTTGCCATAAATCATGCACTGTAGCCATGGCCAAAAGAATTATGGAAGCATGTCAGTAGAAAATTTGTCACCCCTTTCAGGAAACAAATAATTATGGAAATGGTCGAGTACCAAGAGGCACCCTCACATGGAAAAAAAATATATGGAAATTTACCTGCAGCGCGTCACGCCCCTTCCAAAAGGTTCGGTCGACAAGTTATTACCGATTTTTGAGGTCTGCATTTTTATGAGTAAAAAATAATTATGGAAAAATACGGCCCGACGCGACGCAGATTTTTACCGACCCATGTCGAACCTTTTTTTCATTTCCAAAATTCTGTCGGGGGCCATAATGTGGTTTAACTATTTCACCCTGAAACGTGTAGTTTTTGCTAGACTTTAACTAGACTCCAAACTCTACAGTAAACTGGTTGGTGGTTTGGAACATGGCGTTTATTTTTCCCATCATATTGGGAATGTCATCATCCCAACTGACTTTCACTCCTAATTTTTCAGAGGGGTAGGTCAAAACCACCAAGCAGATCCTGATGATATCCCTATCCATCAATATTAAATCCTGGGATATGTTTAAATATGGATATCATCAGAATATTCTAATGGATGGGGATCATGATACACCAGAATATGTGCGTTTTTTTTAAAATATTCTAATGTGGATCAGGGCAAAATATGTCATTATCTCTTATTAATGGGGATATTCTAACGGGCACCAATGGAAGATTAGAATATCATCATGGGATATATAATTGCTATATCATAGGAACGAATGGGATGATTACCTGATACAAATGGGATCTGTTTTGCTGGGATAAGATTCTGAATATTAGGATATCATCATGGGATATAATTCATCATGGGATATAATGAGAACTAATGGGATGACATAAATCTGATAAATCATGGGATGGGACAACCCCTGATCTATTGGCGATTAGTTCATGCGAGAACGGGGAATACCGTTCTTAAGCATCCAGGATTTTATGGAATGATAGAGGGATTTTGAACACTGCTCACATATTCTTTTCAGTGTACCCTCTGGTAAACTAACATAGCTATGGAAATTCACCATCTTTCATAGGTAAATCAACTATAAATGGGCCATTTTCAATAGCTATGTTAAATTACCAGAATTACCAGAGGGTAACATGTTTGGATCTTACCCTCTGGTAAACATGTAAGCAAATAACACTTCTCACGTATACACAGTGCAAAGCCATGCAAAGCCATGTTTTCCACCGTTTTGGTGCACATGGAATATGGAAGATCACTTGTACCCAATCATAGAACATCATGGCAAAATCAATCTTAAATGCACGTAGCAGTGATCACCTTCAACCCATCACAAGCACATCCATTCCAGAAACTTAGTCTGATGCAAAAACCTGTGGCAATCAATTTTGTATGCATTTGTGCTCTTGTCAGTGGAGTCAACCTGAACTTGGCATTGCCATGTACGTACTGTGAACCTATCAATAGTGTCACATCCAAGCTGCACACACAAGCTGCACCAGTAGAGAGCATACATATACATTACACAGATCATCATGGTTTGTCAAATTGCATATGTCCCTCATTGGCAATAGCCTGCAGGGCAGTGAGTTGTATTGTGTTATTTTCACGCTGTGCTATGCAAATGTTTTCCAGCCAGCATGAAAAGAATATGCAAAGAGAATGCTGGAATCAAGACCTGAGTGAATGCACTGATCAACCAAGTTACTTAGCCTGTGGACAGTGTAATCAAAACAGAACATATCTCCAAGGATATGGATTCATACAGCCAGGCAAGGAGCAGCTCCATCATAACAGTGAAACGGTACGATTGCAACAACTTATGCTAACACCTTCTTACACAATGAAAAAATGCTGGGTTTTTACGCATTTTCTGAATGATACTATCAAGTTAAGATACTAGCAAGGGTGACCCTAGCTAGCTATCTTTTGAATCATCATGCAATAATCAACATAAGTAATCATTGCACTATGTCATGGGTTGCTATCTTGTTTTTGTTGTATTGATAAGTTGCAGCACTACTGGTGGCTCTATTTGAAATCAAGCTTAAACTGACCAATATGTAGAGATGGCCTACCCAAAGACCTCAATGAGAGTATATTGGCCAAGCCAAAGATGAAAAGTATATGATAGCTGCTTGCTTCCCTGGGACGGCTGTAGATGGTTATTTATTCAAGTTTGCTTATCCATGCATTTATATATAATTATATATAAATGTAGATGTTTTTTTTCTGGGCATGATGAATGTAGTATGTTTTTTTAATAGATGATGGTTATTGTGAAAATATACTACTTATATACTGTATATACATGCATGTATAATTATATATATATATGTAATATGTATTGCTTTTCATGCTGTTCTTCTCTTGCCATTCTTGAATATCATGTGATGATCCTTGTAATTGAACAACATCGTCCCAAGACGTTGTGTCACGTTCTTTGTTACTTAGCATGTCCTTGCTATGCATTGAAGAAAAACATGTTATAAACACATGATGGAAAGGCCTCATCCAAGATGAGATGGGTTGTAGTTAACATTAGTTTAAGGACAATAAGTCTACAACATTGTAAAAACTATACTTTTTTTAACTGATGCTGGCGATTTAGTTTAGTAAGCAGTGCATGGACCGTTCAGCCAGACTGTCCGGAGCGACGTCCAGCTAGATGGTCCGGCAAGACGGTCAGTCTATATAACTGTCCCGCCAAAGGTGCCGATCCGTCCGACCGGTACCGTAGTGCCATCCGTGCAGCCGGTACCGTGGTGCCGGTCCGGATTGAAAGCTGGTTTCCTGGAGTCTGAGGGGGCGGGTAAAAAAATAAATAAACATGGTTTTTGGCCCCCCTCCCTCAGGGAGGGGTCTAGAAGGTAAAAACCAGAGTTTTCCGTTTTTCAGAGGTCTCGAGGAGGAAGCAAGAAAAAAAAACTAAACAGAAAACTTAGTAGCAATACATTAATCCATATCTTGACCCATATCTGTCCATTCCTCTTTCCAGCTCTCCACAACGTCCCTTTCTGAAATATAAACAACATTTAAATAACATTGTTCTATCATATTATGGTGTGAGATATTGCAAGACGTGCAAAACAATCCATACAAATGTCTCATCTTACCTTTTGCTGTATTTCCAGAAACGTGGCAAAATGGCGCCCCTGTGGCGTGACTTTCTGTTTTTTTGACGGACTGCGGTTGAACCATATGGGGAAGCCAATTGGGATGAATTCACCTCACCAGCGGATTCATTTTTTTTGCAGGGTATCTAAGATTAGCCTTGTGATGCTATGTGACTTGAATATATTATACATAATCTAAATGAATCTAAATCTATACTTTGCCAAAAGATTGAAAAGTAAATCCCCGTTTGATCAGAGTAGATTCTCTCACCAAAAGATAGAAAAACCATGAACATCCACACAACTAGACGCATCGCAGTTCCTAAGTGGGATGCACATGTTACAAACCAGCTACATATGGGCCGGGAGTATCCCTACTTGTAAATGGATTATAGTAGCCACTTTCAAAGTTGGATCCACATCCAAATGGGCCTTTTATATTTGTTGGATACACAACTGTATGCCTTCAACACTTTTTTGGTAGGTACGCATCCAACCATTTATATACAAGAAACAACATGTTAAAAAAAAAAAAAAACTTTACTTCGTGTGATCCCCACCATGACATTTATACATTTTCTTACTGGCAAATCTTCTGGCATTCTATCTGACATATCTTCTAACATTCTATTTGGCATTCTATCTGGCATATCTTCTGGCATATCTTATCTGGCATATGGCATCTTCTGGCATTCTTCTGGCATTCTATCTGGCAAATCTTCTGGCATTCTATCTGGCATATCTTCTGGCATCTATCTGACATATCTTCTGGCATTCTATCTGGCATATCTTCTGGCATATATTCTGACATATCTTCTGGCATTCTATCTGACATATCTTCTGGCATATATTCTGACATATCTTCTGGCATATCTTCTGGCATATCTTCTGGCATATCTTCTGACATATCTATCTGGCATATCTTCTGGCATATTTTCTGGCATTCTATCTGGCAAATCTTCTGGCATTCTATCTGGCATTCTATCTGGCATATCTTCTGGCATATTATCTGGCATTCTATCTGGCATATCTTCTGGCATATCTTCTGGCATTCTATCTGGCATTCTGGCATTCTATTCATTCTCTGGCATATCATTCTTTCTGACATTCTTTCTAACTTTCTTCTGCACATTCTTTGTCCCATATCTTCCTACATGAGGTCCGGCAGGGAACACTTGGCGTGGATACTCGCGGTTGAGGTCCGGCAGGGAACACTGGGCGTGGATGGTCGTGGTTGAGGTCCGGCAGGGAACACTGGGCCCGGATACTCGCGGTTGAGGTCCGGCAGGGAACACTGGGCGTGGATGGTCGTGGTTGAGGTCCGGCAGGGAACACTGGGCGTGGATGGTCGTGGTTGAGGTCCGGCAGGGAACACTGGGCGTGGATGGTCGTGGTGGAGGTCCGACAGAGAACACTGTGGATCGCGAGTCGCAGTTGAGCAGGAGGACGAGGAGGACAACGAGAGGAGGAGGAGGAGGAGAAGGAGGAGGACGAGGAGGACCAGGCAACTGACATAAAATCTAACAACCCTCACCTGGCAGGTGGGGAAAAACATTGATGAACCACAGACAAAGTAGATAAGTAGGAACCAAATACAAATTACCACCATCCACTCACTAACTATGAAAAAACATGTTATACACCATTAATGTTGGCACCCCAATAATAAACCTACCATTTGGGACGGTAAACATAACACCTCAAAAAAAAATAAAAATGGTCATGACTTGGGGATTGTTTATGATTGGGTTTACCACATTAACTAACATTAACTCATTATAAAAAGATCAAGCATCCACCATTTTTAGACAATCAGACCGAAGATCCACCAGGGCTATCCGTTGGCCTTGTCTGTCTCCGCAAAGTCGACGGACGCCGCAGAGGCCTCTTTATTGGCTGGCTGGACATGAAGATGTAAGGAAAATCATAGGAAACCCAGTGGAAACTCATGGGAAATCATAGGAAACTGTGGGAAATCCATAGGAAACACATCCTATGAATATGAAGTATGGGAAAAATCATAGGAAACTATGGAAGATGAAAAAAAATGCCAAGTATTGGCAACTTTTTATGGGAAGCACCATTGGTGAAAAGAGGAATATCAGGAAACACCAATATAGCGGTTAAACAATTGGTTGAATAGTTTAGTTTTTGAGTTTCTCATATAGTTTGTTGTCATATGTTGCCATCAACCGGAATATGATTGTCTTCTGACCGGCTCTTTTTTGCTGAGCAGGCGATTTAGGATTTGCCATGTACGAACTCAGTTCTGGGAATTCAAAACAGATTATCCCAAGTCTGCATGGAAATCGCTGAACATTCCAAGTCATAGTGTATATGTTAGCCCATTTTTTCTGCATGCTCCGCGGGTTGAGGTACATATAAACACCGGTTGGTGGTTTGGAACATTTTTTAATTTTCCATATATTGGGAATGTCATCATCCCAACTGACTAATATTTTTCAGAGGGGTTAAAACGGTTGAAACCACCAACCAGAACATGATTGAACATTTGTGGTGTAGATGGGTATACTTGGAAGTTTTGTGTGATGATCCCGCATGACTCAGGTCTTTCCATGGGTCACTGGTCAACCATGTGATTGGAATTGCTGTTTAGCTGGCTGCTGGTTTCCGGCCAGTGGCCCAGTGATCGCAAGTTCCATCAAGTTCCAATTTATAGCCATTTATAACTGGTAAAGGGTTTCAACTGCACCATACAAGGTACTCTGCTCATCCTTGGCACATCTTTGGACTTTCTTCAAGGGTATATCTGAAGAATCGATGTTGCTTATGTTGCTTCAAGTGAGAAAGACATGGCAAATAATCTCAGCAACCTAAGTGCTGACGTGGACATGAAATGACATGATGGGTTCGCCAAAATCATGGCCCAAAAACTCATCGGATGGTCTATTTGAGACGTGGCCAACAACTCCCAGAGTGCCGATTCTAATTTTTCAACATGTTCAGCTTAGGTATTGACCGCTAAAGGAAGTAGTTCGCCAGTTTTGAGTTTGCAATTCACTCCTGTCTACAGCTTACAAGAGGAATCCTACTCAGGAAGAGTCAACCATAGCGTTTTAATAGGGATACAACCGTGCCCCCCTACCCCTGATGTATCTAGCTGGCAGGGATGTCATGGTAAGGTGATGGAAGATCCTACACCCTGCGTGGCATCAGACTTTCCTGGCTGCATATCCCTATGCCGAAGGTCGAGCGAAGAGTTTTGTATGGTATACGGTATATATATATATACTGTATACATATTAATATGCATATAGTATTACATATATTATTACGTATATATTTTACATATATGTTTACATATATTATTACATTATTACATATATTATTACATATATTATTACATATATTATTACATATATTATCACATATATTAATACATATATAATTACATATATTATTACATATATTATTACATATATTAATACATATATAATTACATGTATAATTACATATATACACATTTATATAATTACGTGTATGTACATATGTATGTATGTACGTACGTACGTACGTACGTACGTACGTACGTATGTATTTATGTATGTATGTATGCGCGTATGCATGTATGTATGTATGCGCGTATGCATGTATGTATGTATGTATGTATGTATGCATGTATGTATGTATGTATGTATGTATGCATGTATGTATGCAATCAGACGGTTGTATTCAATTGTATCCAAGTAACTGTTGCGTGACCTGACGCTTGTTTTCTCGACAGGGGATTCCAGCTGCAGGACACATCTGAAATCTGGATCTCTTTGGGTTTCTTTCCGTAAGCTCCATATGGGCAGTGGTACTTATAGTGTAGGTGCATATGACACAAAGAATTGTAGATAATTACATGACCAAGAGTCGAGTGCCATTTTCTCTCATATTGATGGTTATTTCCGACAATTTTTTGGACTGGACTGGACTTTGACTATTCCTTTGTTGTTGTTTTTTTCATCATCATATCCGAATATCCTCCCTATCTGATTTCTTAGATTCGCTGATGAATTACTGGCCCTGTGTCATTGTGGTTTGAATCCACAACCAGTGGTCAGAGTCAAAGACTTGGTCTGACTCCTATCCTTTTTCATAGTTGTGAGTACTTTCAGCATTTTTTCCAATTTGTACATTGTTTTTTTCAAGAATATCAGCGATAATTATATCAACAAATACGAATAGTCCACTTTTTGGACGGAGTTCTACAGTAGATCAAATCTCACTGTTCGAGCTTTTGGGAAAGGATGGGGAAGGCGGGCTACCCCACATAGATATTATAGACTATGCTAGCCACTGTTTTAGTAGAGTTTTACTCGCCTATTTTTTGGTGGTACCTGAGGTTCAGCACTGCCTCATCGCCAGAACAGGCGGTTCTTTTGCGAACCAGTTTTTGAAGAAAACGCAAGGTATCTAAGATTGGCCGCGCTCAGTCCCAAGTTCCCAGTGTTCATATTAATGAGTAAGTGAATAATTGCATCATTACATGATATGTCACATTTTCGGAGTATACAACCTTGAAGGTCCAAAAGTATCTCCCCGCCTTCCCTTTCATACTGTAAAATGATAGATTTTGTGGGCCCATCCATTCTTCAGTTGTGACCCTTAGCCTTGATCCGCTCGAAACTTGTTTTCCTTGTTCATCAAAACTGGCCCAGGAAACGTTCACATTTGTGTCAGCACAGCTGCCGCTGTTTAAGACGGAACCAATAGATACAATGCCTGATGGCCGAAGTGTAAAGGCTGAGCGTGATCGGGGAATTTGCTTGGTGTGGGCCAGGCGGTTATCTCCTGCCCGTGCAACCACCAGGAATTTGGCTTTTCTGTGGCTTAGCCTGTTTCTCTGGACGGGCAGCAACTCGCACATAGCATTCAGCATTTTCTCCGTTTCCATGCAAGACGCTGACCACGAGGAGCCATATCACGACCACAGTGTTATATAGGCTTATTGGCTGCCACCCGAAGAAAGAAATCAACAACGAATTCATAAGAACGCCCCACGGCAAACTAGGTAGGTGAACGCGCTAAATACGCACCCCTAACTCCAGGCCGCCTCCAGGGAAGCAGCTGCAGTGCGTTCCACCATGGCCCGGAAGCCTGGGTAGGGCATTGCTTTGCAAAGCATCTTGGGCGTAGCAAGAGTGAGAGAGATATCCCCCACCAGGTTTTGCAACCATTCAGTAGGTGAACACTAACCCGGCACAACACGATCATTCTTCAGATGGTTTTATTCAAGATAACAAATTGGGACATCGTGCCGTGCACAGACATTCATCACACCCAGTTGTTCTTCGCACATGCAATATAATTTTCTCCTGCCGGACACGCTGAGTTTAGCACATGATCTTGCTCATTAGGAGATTTCACACGTCAATGCGAATGTTTAGATTTATTGCGCAGAGGATGACATGAACATGGCCAAATATCACTACCATTGCCTTGCTGCGCAGTCCACACTGCGCAAATAAATGCAAATTACCCTTGTTTCCTGTTATACAACCCCCTTGAACACGTTTTTGCACCTGTAGCTTGGCCTTGTTTTCACCCGCTCACTCTACGTGGAACCCAGGTGAAACGCATCGAGTGGCGCGTGGGGCGCATCTCTGAGCACGTGGCCGCTGTGTGTGTAAACCCAGTTTTTTGTGTCAATGGAGGCCAGCTTAGCCATACAGGGGAAATTACCAACAAATAAGACGTTTTTTCCGGAAGTAGGATGCCCCAAAATCACATGGTTTATCATAATATTACTGCAATTGATTTGAAATCGCAAGCTATGGTTTTCCTTATTTTTAATCACACTTGCCAACATATATCAAAATTGCATGTATCTATATACATACATACATATATATAATTATATATATAGTTATATATATATATAAATGTATGTGTCTGCAGGGTACGATCGGATTTGGATTTGGGTAAATCATTGGGACTTGACCACAAACCATGCACAACCGTTTTTTGGGATATCATTGATGTCATGATTGTAAGCAAAAAGGTGAACATGTTCCAATAGAAGTTGTGTGATATTTTGTTTGTCGGTTGTGGGAAAACAGGATTGGCTGGGAAAACGTTCATTCGAGATGTGATCAGCGATAGTGTGAGACGGATTGCATTCAACGTATGTGCAGCAAACATTGGACATCAGAAACAACAAATTCAGAATGACGGGTCACAACACAATGAAATTTGACGTCCAGAATGCCTTCACGTTTTCAACATTTTTTAAACCATGTTGTGGCCGTGAAGGATGATGAAAAAAACACCAATCAAAACCTCGTGAACATGTAATGATTACTGATGAACAAACTGTGTAGGTTTCATATGGGGTGTCCAATTACAGCACCGATGTTTTGGTACTGGAATAGGTTCTTGCAAACATGTCAGGTGAAGGGTGTGTGGCGGTGGATTATCATTTTTTGGGTCGGACATTTTAAATCATGTCCATTATAAACCATCCATTTTGATCCATGTTGGGGTACCACCATTTCTGGAGACCCCCAAATCTGCGGTTTGTGGGCCAGGCGAGCAGCAGCCAACGCTGGAGGAGAAGAAGAGGCGCCTAAAATGGTAGAAAATCAGTGGGCTTAGACTACGAGGGTTTCTATGATGCTAAATATTATAGATCTAATGATGATATCCATTGTTATTTTTTTAAGTATAGATATTCAATACATATATGTATATATATATGAGTTGTATTTATTACAACGGATTTGATTTTATATATGTTGTGATTTTAGATATTCAATAACCATATATCAAGAGAATTAATATTTATGGATGTGGAGGTTTCCTAAAATCATAGGTTTCAATGCTAAACTGTTCAATGCTGGATGATTTGGTGTACCCCCAATTTTCAGACCCCCCCCATATAATACAATATAGTGTTGTACTGCTACATATGTAATTACATAGATATTACTACATTCTATAATAATCAATCTAGATTTATGTGCCCAGATACAATTTCAATCACAGCCTGTAAACAAATAGACTCCTAATTTTGATTTGTAGCTATGGACCCGGGTGAGCATTGAAAAATTAGGCAACTGGATGTTTACGAACACAAACTATAGAGTTATAGGTTTTGACCCATATTGTATGCCCATATATATATATTATGTAATTGTGCTCAATCATTATAGAAATCTTTACAACGGGATTGACTCATAATGGAATAAGGGGTCATGAATTTGTTTAAACAATGGGGTTTGTATTCAACGTGCATATAACAGAATGTCTGGTAGCTTTACTTTGATACCATTGTTCCTTCCCCTTACAATTCAATAATGATTTTCGGTTATGTATCATCAATTTAAATCAAATGGCACCATTATTGTGTTTTTTGATACTATTGCGTTGTTATTCTTATTGTTAAGTTTTTGATTTATGATTCACGAATCTAATTGTCGCCGGTTTTTGTGTAGCTATCATGCATTGTTACTGTTTTGGTGGGGCATCATTCGCTGGCAAAAATGTACAGCTTGGTTTTGTACCAGGTAAATTCTGACTGGCGACGTCACGGTAGAATCACGGCATCACTGATGGCGATGCCATCAGGGGCATTATCCCCAAATGACCCACCATTTCAGGTCGGTCAATGACATCAATTGGAGCTAGCTGGTTGGTTTTTAAGGGAAAACCCAAAAATAAGATGGATGATCTGAGGGTACGCCTATTCTAGGAAACCCCCCATCGAATATGCTTCAGTCATATTCTTGTTGTTCCCCACCTGCCAGGTGAGGGTTGTTAGATTTTATCAGAGCGCTCTTCCTCCGCGTCCTCGTCCTCCTCCTCCTCCTCCTCGACTAGCTGTCCTCTTCCTCCTCGTCCTCCTCCTCGCCTCCTCCTCCAGTTTCTCCTCGACCATGTCTGCATCAACTTCCACGTGCACTTCCGCCTTGCCAACTCTTCGCCCAGCTCTTTGCCAACTCTCTTCGCCGACTCTCTGCGCCAAGCTCTTTGCCAACTTCCCAGCTCAATGTGCACTGCTGGACCTCAACCTGGGACCTGCCCAGCTCAGTGTGCACCGCTGGACCTCAACCGGGGACCTGCCCAGCTCAGTGTGCACCGCTGGACCTCAACCTGGGACCTGCCCTGCTCAGTGTGCACCGCTGGACCTCAACGGCCAGATAGAATGCCAGAAGATATGCAGATGGAATGTCAGATAGAATGCCAGAAGATATGCCAGAAGATATGCCAGATAGAATGTCAGATAGAATGCCAGAAGATATGCCAGATAGAATGCCAGAAGGTATGCCAGATAGAATGCCAGATAAAATGTCAGATAGAATGCCAGATAAAATGTCAGATAGAATGCCAGAAGATTTGCCAGTAACAAAATGTATAAATGTCATGGTGGGGATCACACGAAGTAAAGTATTTTTTCATCCTAAGTCATTTGTTGTTGTTTATTTGTTCCCAGTTTGTTATGCTTCGAATCTTGCACGGTGAAGAAGAACAAGCACCAACGACAAGACTCAACAACAACACAAAAGAAAAGAGAAAAAAAATACAAAGGCAGCAAAAACCGATCTGAAAAGACATGGATTGGGATTAATATCTAGCTCGGATGAGCTACTTGGAGTTCCCAACCACAATGCTAGATATGTATACAGATACTGTGTAATCCCATCATCCCCCCAATATTTAAACATCCCCTAAACAGTCCCAGGTATGAGTAAATCCTCTAGTAAACCATGGTTTCTGGGGGTGTTTAATATTAAGGATTATAAATGTAGTATAGTTCTATTCCCTTCAGGTTTCTAGGGTACCAAGGGTTCAATCTGTCCCAAAGCTACATGGCATGCCTCAAGCGTCTGCAGGCATGGCAGCCCATCGTGTCTCCCCCCTTCGCAGCAGGGGGATTTGAGAATCTGCAGCAGGGAAACCCATTGGAACGATGGTGAAACGGTGAAACGGTAAGTTAATCAACAAACATAGTGTACATAATGGTAACCCATCTGGATTTAACCAAGAAATTAAACGATTTTTACGTAGCTAAAATGGTGGTTAATGGCGATATGGGAAACGGGGGAAATGACTGGGTAAATTCAATAGCGACCTCCATGGACGGCCTTACCATAGACAATGGGTAGGTTTAGGAGTTCTGGAAGGTGGGGAGCCCACCTTGTGCTAATTTGCTCAGAATATTCGACTGGTGGGAATTTCATCAACCATGTTCAGCTTCCGGGAATGTTTGCTGGACAGCAGGATTTATATTTAGATAATTAACACACATGAATTTTGTGTTTCTCAATATGAAATCAACCCATTGAATTGAGGGCTGAACATTGGGGATGTGTTGTTGATGGTGTACGGATATATTCCCTTTAGTTGGTTACAATGTATGAGTAACCGACAACAATATTGTACGACCACTTTGCTATTGCTTCGCCTTGGCCGTGCTGCGGGATGTCCTAAACCCATAAGGCGCAACCAAAAAATATGTGACAAACAAACAAATGTCTTATATTACCTATATATATATAGTAACATGTGGCAAAAAGATAGGGTTATAGGGCAACCAAAACCCATAGTAACTATATGTGTCAAATATTTGACAAGCAATTCTGAGAATGGCACTCATAGTAAGCACCAGAAAGATAGGCAGGTCATTTACCACATTACCACTATGTTTGTAAGTATTTTACTGTTCTACTTTTTGTGGCTGTTACATGCCATTTCGGCCACATCTTGAGAGGAGAAAAATCCCATGTCACGGCGGCCTGAGGCTGCACTTATATCCTCTGGGCTACCGTGTGAAGGGTGAGGACAAGCGTTGGCCATGGGCATCTTGGTTTCACAGTGCATCTTGTTCCATTAATGTGTGCAGAGCAACTTTGATGATATATGTTTGAAACAAAACATGTTTTTTCTGTTTCGGCCAAACCGCACTTTTTCCCGACCATGCGTGATTGACACAATGCGTGCTCCCAAATGTTGATATATCCTGTGAGGTCAGTGATGCGAGAGCACGCAGAAATCTGGAGGCATATTATATACATGTAGGTGAGTGTATATGTATCTATGTTTATTACAGTTCTCTTTCTATACAGACATATAGAATATAGAAATATATATATATATATGATTATATATGTATATATATATATATGGATATATATATATGTGTGTGTGTTACATATATATATATATGGATGTATTTTTATATATATGGATATATATATATATATGGATATATATATATATATATATGGATATATATATATATGTATTTTTGATTATATATGTATCATTATTATATATAGTTATAATTACATATAGTTATAACTACATATATTTACATATGATCATGTATCTTGTTTAGCTCAGCTCATGCGGCAAATCCCTTGGACCAGGACTCCTGTGGCTTCTTCCTGGTGTGCCCCAAAGGTGGGGGAAAACCTTGGTGGGCTATAAGCCTATGGAATATCACCAATGAATGATGGTTAACTACTCATGGTATATATATGCAAATATAATGGCACATATAATGGCTAATAATGGTTAAAGCTGGTTATAATAATGGTGCATTTTAATGAATACCCGGCACGTGTCTCTCTTCGAGACTCATTGAATAAGGCCCAAAGAAGGTTACTGAGTGATGCTACATGATGCTACCATGAACTATGAGGATACACCCAAGAAGCACATCTTCAGATTCCTCAAATTATGACCCAGACCCAAGAACTATGAGAATTCACAACTCCCAAAACATTCTAATCAATATTATGCGGCAATTATGCGTTCTTTTCAAAATTTCTCTGGTACATCATCCAACTGTAGCCGTTTCCCTAATTATCTCCCTAGGTGTCCCCAAGGAAATATGTCGAAGGCTAGGGACCCTCTCCAGCCATAGGAATGCACGTGAAGTGCAAGGCCTTCGTTGGCGACATGGCTTGGAATCTCAGTTGGAAAGCCCAACGGATTTCCAAAAATGCTCATGATTTTTAATTGGGGGTGCAGTTGAGGCTGCACATGGGTTTAGCCATGGTGAAGTAACGCCCATAAGTTGTGATATAAGCCCTATAGCTTTATCCACTTATAGCGGGAATCCTCATGAACATGTGGCATTGAAAAGATAAGGTAATCCCAGTCCATCTGCTGGTTCACCATGGCGAATCAAGCAAATTCTCTCACTCAACTGCCATAATTTGAGGTATCTCCCAACTTTCAAAGCCCATGTGGCCTGTTGGCTCTCCATGGCTCGACCTCTCGAGGTCCGTGTCTGGGATCATCACTACAAGGAACGCGAACCCTATGGAGCGGAAACCCAAATCAGGGCGAGGCATCTAAGGACTTAGACCTATGTACGTATAGAATCCTATAGAAATATAGGGGCTATACATTGAAAGTACCCATGATTTTAGGGATTTTTGCTTATTGTCATGGCGGCTCAGAGGGTCGAAGTAGGATGGCTTCGGGGATTTCTGAGGTGGGTATGATGGGTATTTCTGTTGTTTTGTGATCCAAACAAAAAAAAGATCCAAAAAAAGATCCACATTTTGGGTAAGTTAAATAACGACCTCCCTAAAAACCACCTGGAATTGATGGGTTAGTATGGGAAACTAGCTCAAAATCACCTCATTCGCGCTAATAATTACCCCAAAAAGTGGTTTTTAAGAAAGACAATCAGGTACCACTATTCTAGAATAGGATAGAATAGGATTTACGGTTCTAGTTGTCCATTTTCCATATTGTCCATTGCTGCTTCTCATGTGGCCATCGCTGTCGCTTAGGACGTGGAAACTTCTGTCGACTCTTGGACAAGGCGCCCAATAACTGGATTGTTAACATAACTGCCAACCCCCAAAATACAACGGATGATAATTCGGGATACCCACATATAACAGCAATATGAATATCGATATTTTCTGGGAATAGATATGTACTTGTGACATTGATCTACGAGCTCGGAGAATGCAGGAACTCTGATGCAACATACAAACGTGGATATTATGGGATCTAATGGGATACAATCCCATCCTAATATTCAACACCACCATATGGTCCAAAAAAAGTTGTGTTGTTTAGAAACCCTACCTTTTTAGCATGGTTTCTATGGAGAGTGTTTGATATTGGGGGAAAAGGATCATCAAATTTTGAGTTGAACATGTGAGAACCAACTGGATGTGTACCTACAAGCACAACTTAGTTGGTTCTTTGCCACACATGGGGATATTCATTTTTTTGGTAGGGTATCTAAGTCTGGCGAAACTTTGGACATCCTGGGTTTGGGGGCATTTTGACTGGCTGGTTCTGGTTCATTGAAAAAATGCGGAAACACCACTTGTTGCAACGGATATATTTCTGGTAAATGCCTTGGCATGAAGTTTTCCATGATCTCGCTGACCCCTTATTTTTTGTCTTGTTCCTACCCTCTGGTAAACTAACGTAACTATGGAAACTCACCATTTTGAATGGGTAAATCCACTATAAATGGCAATTTTCAATAGCTATGTTAGTTTACCAGAGGGTAACTTAATTTGTTGGTATCATATTCCATTATCCTGAAAAATACCATAGGTTGAATACATTTTTTGTTGCTGGTCAACCTCCTAGTTCTGTTGATTGGATTAGAGAAGTAGCTTTTCAGCAAATACCACCAAAAAAAGATCGATCGCATTAAATTCATCACTGTTTCAGGATTGGGTTTTACTAATGTGCGTGTGTGTGCGTTTCTTTCGTATAGGAGGTGCCAAGTACATGTATGTGTTGTGTGGCTTGAGCATTGATCCAGTGCCATCTTTGGAGCCATTTATTAACCTCGTGTTCCATTGTCAGTTGGGATTGAAAAAACCATCCTAATATCATATTAATGGTTTAAGTTTAATATATACATTATTTTTTATATATACACAAACTTAAATCTATACACACATATATATATAAGTATGTGTATATATACATATATGTATACATATATATATATATGTATATATATATATTTGTATATATATGTAGCTATTTGTAGATATATATATATGTATGTAAACATATATATATATGTATGTATATTTACATATGTATATGTATATATATATGTATATGTATATATATATATGTATATGTATGTATATATATATAGATACAGATACATATGTATATATATATATATGTACATGTATATGTATATACACATATACCGTGGACAGCCATTATTATTCCATCCCTCAAGTCGTATCACGATGATTTCTGAAGGTGGAGAACGATGACAGCATCCTCTGTGGCATTGAGTTGCAAGAGATACGCATGGAGCAGACCACACAGGCCGGAAGGGGCAGCATGGAGGGAATGATGATAAAATCCTTGAAAATCATGGTAATTACCATCTGGTTATTTAACATAGCCATGGGAAAATCACAATTTTTCATAGGTAAACCTCTATAAATGGGCCATTTCCCATGGCTATGTTAAATAACCAGAGGGTATGGTAAAAGCCCTATATAAGAAAAAAAGTGGATAAATATGGTGTGGATAAAAAATCCGTGATATTATGTGGGTAATATCCCGTGGTATCCGCTTGAGATTTTCCCATTTTGATCAATCCGTTGAACATCTGAAAAATCTGAAAAGGCTTTAGGACTTTGGCTCCCTGCTGTAGATTCTGTTGGGGATGTATGATTATAGTCATGGACATTTCTTCATTATATAGTTCAGTTGTTTTTTACTACTGTATCTGACTGTATATGCGTGATCTATGTATCTATACCGCAATACCAATAAAAAGGGTGCCAAAAAAAACATGTACAAGAAACACTAATTGAATATAGTCTTTATAGTCAATATGCACTACAATATACCATCTGGTTATTTAACATAGCCATGGAAAATCTCCATTTTTAGTAGGCAAACCATCTATAAATGGGCCATGTTCCATGGCATCCAGGGCTTCATCCCATGGCATCCAGGGCTTGCCAGGTGCGTGGTGGGCCCTTTGGTAGCGTGGTGGACGAAGTGAGCCTCGTTTCGGCTGCCGGGTGCCGGCTTGGGAGGAGATGGAGATGTGGGGACATGGTGATATCATGGTGAAAAACACTGCTGATATATATCCTCTGGTAAACATACAAAAAGCTATTGAAAACGGTGACTCATAGTGGATTTACCCATTAATAGCATGGTGATTTTCCATAGTTATGTGAAAGTTTATCAGAGGGTAGTCATTAGTGGATGTGACTGTGAAACCACATCACATATGGTAATAGGTTGTGATCCTTCCCCATATCATTGGAATAACATGGTGATATAGTGATTTCGTGGTGATGTAATGGTGATATTAACTGGAATAGAATAGTGATAAAATATGGTGATATATTGATATCAGTGCATGTAGAAATGATGCCACCATCCTTTAAATTTACACTTTACTTTGGAAGCAATGGCCCATTGAGGTCTATGATATCCCTGTTATATCTATTATCTTGATCATGGGTTTCCATAGCTATATGATATATTGAGATACCAGAGGGTAATTCCATCGGGGCTTATTCAATATACAGTTAAGGGGAAAAAGGATTGATCCTATTGATCAAATTTATATCTTTCCACTAGTAAATACAAAAAACATAGACCTAGAAACCCTGTTTGAATGTAGTAGATCGCTTTGTGGGGTCCTTGTTTGGGTCCCATATAAAGGGTCTATCTTTATCGGGGATGGGAGCATGAAAGGATGATGTTTCCACAGCTCCAAGGTGACCTATAGCTGAGATTGGCCCTTGATCCTGAGATTGCTGTTTGTTTTCCTTCGATAAGGCGCCTGACAGTAACAATCTATCATTATCTATCATGTTCTATCATGATTCATTATATCCATCATTAGTCATTATCTACCATTATCTAGTCGTTCATCTATATGTTTATCTATATATCTATCTAACTATCTATCTATCTATCTATCCATCTATCTATCTATCTATCTATCTACCTATCTATCTATCTATCTCTCTCTATCTATCTCTCTCTATCTCGCTCTATCTATCTCTATCTATGTCTATCTATCTATATCTATCTCTAGCTAACTATATCTATCTATATCTATCTATATCTATCTATATCTATCTATATCTATCTATATCTATCTATACCTATCTATATCTATCTATATCTATCTATATTTATCTATCTCTCTATATATCTATCTATCTATTTATCTATATATCTATCTCCATCTATCCTTATCTATCTCTAGCTAACTATATCTATCTATATCTATATCTATCTATATCTATCTATATTTATCTGTATCTATCTATATTTATCTATATCTATTTATCTCTATCTATCTCTATCTATCCATCTATCTATGTCTACCTATCTATATCTATCTCTAGCTAACTATATCTATCTATATCTATCTATATCTATCTATATCTATCTATATCTATCTATATCTATCTATATCTATCTATATTTATCTATAGCTATCTATATCTTTCTATCTCTATCTATCCATCTATCTATGTCTATCTATCCATCTATCTATCTATCTATCTACCTATATATCTATCTATCTATCTATCTATCTATCTATCTATCTATCTATCTATCTATCTATCTATCTATCTATCTATCTATCTATCTATCTATCTATCTATCTATCTATCTATCTATCTATCTATCTATCTATCTATCTATCTATCTATCTCTATCTATCTATCTATCTATCTATCTATCTATCTATCTATCTATCTATCTATCTATCTATCTATCTATCTATCTATCTATCTATCTATCTATCTATCATCGATGTATCCATCTATCCATCTATCCATCTATCCATCTATCCATCTATCCATATATCCATCTATCTATCTAGCTAGCTAGCTAGCTATCTATCTTTCTATCTATCCATCCATCCATCCATCCATGCGGGCCCCTTCGTAGGCGAGAGGGCGGGTCTTGGGGGCCCGAAGGCCCTCTGCGGCCGAATTTAAGAGCCCTAAACTCCTGGGCGAACTCGGATTTGGGGTAGGGTAGGATAGGGGGCGGGGGGGCCTAAAGGAGCATACCTCCCAGGGTTATGGTTTGTTGCTAACGTAGAAGGGTTTGGATCTGATCTAGTTACTGTATCGGGTCACCAACAACAAAAGGAAATTATTCCTTTTGAAGTAAAAATTCTCTGAAAAGGGTAAAGGAGTTGAGTGACTTCGGGTCTATTGTGTTTCAATGAGTTGACGTTTGGATCCCTTTTTGAATTCGTTGGCTTTACAGCTGTTCTGGTATCCTCCGAAAATAATGGATTCAAAGGGCTTTGTAATGTTACCCTTTGTGTTTCTTCCAGCTTCCGGGGTTTGGTCCAATCCAGCGGGTTCACGGCATGACACCACATGAAGCACATTGCTGCAGCTTTTGGCTAATTCGTTTGTTTCGTCCCGCCTTCGTCTTTTTTTTGCAGCCATGATGCGTGTGGTTGTCTTGAATGCGGCGTTGGCGCTGGTGGCTCATACCCCGGCCATTCTGCAGCTGCTCACGCCCTGGGACCTTCATCGGCTGCAGGCTAGATTCTAGATAGGACGCAGCATTTTTGAAGTTGTTGTTTACAAAGGTGGTTCCTTTGACTAAAGCTTTAAAGTGAGTTCAAGAAACGTTTCGGTGTTTTTGTTGTAGCGCCAACCCTGCTTTAGGTTGCCCTTGGCAGACGATTCCGGCTGCCGCAACCATTTCGTTTTATAGCCGAACTTGGTTTTCTCCAAGTTCCGGCTGCAGCTGTGCCTTGGCATTTTTGGTCAAGCTTTCTCCGGCTTTTCGGCTTTTCGGTAGTTTTTGTTTTTTCGAGAGGGTTTTGATTTTTTATCCCTATGGAAAGATCGTGGTAATAAGACATAGTTATGCGTATTTGTTGATGACGAACATGTTGCTATGCGCGGGAGATGGTTGCACTTCTTGTTGTATGTACAAATATATTTGCTTTTAAAAAAATTGCTTGCTGCTTCCAAGGTAAGGGTGCGAGGCTGGTATGGCGCAGCCTGGGATGAGCTTTGTGTAAATTGGGGCCGGTTGCACCCGGCAGCCTTGCTCGGTGCTTTTGGAGGTGGTGGTGAAGCCCTGGCACGGGCCACTTTGCATAGCTTGGAGCGGCGCCAGCTGCAATTGCCCCCACGTAGGGCTGGCGTCGCGCGTCAGCGGCAAGTCCTACGTGGGGTGCTTCAAACGAGGTTCGGGGACTTTTTGGTGGAGCTCAGTTACACACGTGAGGTGCAACTCATAGTGTAACTGAGTTCCTTGCATGCTATCCCCCATAAGAGGGGATTTTTAAGATCGGTGGGGGACCGATTGAACAACCCCCCCCACAAGCGGGGCAGTTTTCCATTACTCGGCGTCCGACGCCTTTGCAAAACAGTGCTGGAGTGCGAAGGGCCTCCGGTGTAGGACGGAGTGGGGACAGGTGTTAACGGTTGACTTGTGTTTCTCACTTGTAAGTTTAGGGAACAACAACTTTGGACCACCGGTTAAGGACAAAGGTTTTTTTCTTCTAAGTCTGTGTTGCACGAAAAGGTGTGAAGACAGGTTCGTTTAAAGTTTTCCATCAAAGGGGACGTTGGTAGAGAGAGGGTGTTACCAAGTTGTTTGCAGAAAGGGTTACCAAGGCAGAGTTTATTTAGTCGTTTGTGGTTTCAAACGTGTAAAAAAAAACGAGGAGCTTGGAAGATATGTTAGAGGATTTTTCATTGATCAACTTCCTAAATTTGCTGTTCGGGTACTTTGTCACTGTGTTCTCAGGTAACAATGAACAATCCTCTGTCCGGTTTCTTTTCAATTGTTACGCAAGCTTTTTTCAAAAAGGATGTCTCACCGAGGGGCAAAAGGGTCGAAAGAGGTCAAAGGGTTCACAAGGGCCTAACAAACGGTTAAGTGGGTAAAAGGGGTCGAAGGGGTCAAAGAGTTAGTCTGTTTCAAGTTTCGAGTTGTTTCTGCTGATAAGGAATTTTCCCTTGAATGGTATTCAGTCGTTGTGTCAGAAGAACAATGTTCGGTGCTGGTTTTCCTGTTTGGCAAACATGCTTATCGTTCAATGGTAGGTTTTGAAGCAGCAAGTTGTTGCCATTTCTGTTTGGTGCAAAGTTCAGCCCAAAGAATTGTTAATTTAATGGCGTCGACTTTTCCATCCATGGCACCGGCATAGTACGACCGGATTCTTTGCAACCCATCGGCTGTGCCACTTCTTCATCTGTGGCTTGTCAACATTTTATATGTTTTGGAAGTGTTCAAAATTTCTTGATGTCTTCAAATGTTTTTTTTGCTACTCTGCTGAAGATAAACATCACGTATGGCTTGGCTGTCGGGTCATACAAGTGTGTGCGTATGTGTATGTATGTAAGTCTGTATTTGATCAAAAATCAATAAAACATTTTTGAAGATGTTTATTTACCGGATTCTTGGCTGTGCTGTGCCACCTTTGTCATCTTGGGTAACGGGGTTAATGCACAGCTGCTGCTATGGAGGAGGGTGGCAGTGCGTAAGCCAAGAAAAACCAAGAAGACGTGGAAAACATGAAATTAGCATCGAAAATATTGCACATGATTGTACCAAAAACATTAATCATCTAAATTCTTGAAGGTGTTTGTGCTTTCTAGTGCAAGACCTTTTCCAAAAAAGTGATCAGAAATTGCATGTGTATGATTTTCAAACGTGTTTTCCAGAACTCTTCTCACTATTTGGCACGGCAGTCAATGTTTTTGTGGAACAAAGATGTCAATTTCAATTTTAAATTTCATCGGCCAGGAAGAGAGAAATATACAGCATTTCCAATTTTGGACCGTAGAAATTGTTCATTGTCACATTGATGGTTCGGCTGCTCAGTGACACGGTCCCTGAACTCAGCATGTGAACAGATCTTCTCATGCAATGTTTTTTTTTAATGAAAGGACCAAACCATGCTATTGCAAGGTAGAATCTGAAGTACATTCTTGGAATCAAAACATGCAATTTCTATTGGTGATCAAGTGGAATGGCTGTTCCGCTGTCATTTCTGCTGCTCAGTGAAGAGGGTCTAGACATTAGGCATCTGTGGCAAATCTTGGAATGTCATTTTTTCTTCCTGAAAGATGAAAAACCAATCTTCGAAAAATGTACAACGGGATGATTTGTTGATGTTTGTCACATTGATTGCTCAACTGTCTGCTCAGTGACAAGGGTCCGGAACTCAGCAGTTGAGCAGGTTTGTTTGCGACTTGATTTCATGGATAGAAGAGGAATAAGTCTTTTCTTGAAAAAGACCTAGTTTCTATTCATGATGCGTTGGAATGCTCATTCAGCGTTGCCATTCCACGTGATCAGTGACAGGGGATTTGGAATTCAGACAATTTTGTCTAGTTGTCTTGCGCGGCAATGGTTTATTAACAAAAAATGTTCTTAGTTTCGCATAGCCAGAAACTTAAACAAAACAGGTAATTTTCAGCACTATGCCTGGTAGCTTTTTGTTCATGTTTGTCACGCAAGGTTTGTCACACGTAGGGTTGATTGCACGAGTGCCTATCTATCTATCTATCTACCTACCTATCTATCTATCTATCTATCTATGTATCTATCTATCTATCTATCCATCCATCTATTTATCTATTTATCAGGTGATACAGGTGATAGCCTATTGATATATTCTTGATGATTGTTGAACGGGTCACCATGGGTCACCTTACCTTTGTTGGAGATTTATTTGAATGGATCCCCATGATATTTGGGATGATCTCTAATGACTCTTTTGGGAAACTCGGGAAAATTGATGCTGCATACGTAGACCTTCCAGGTGCCCATGAAAATTGGCAAAACAAAAAGGATAGAATGGGCATATAACATTATATACCATGGTAACCGTTATAACCACATTTTTTCCAGATATTTAAAGGGTCTAGACAAATGAATGAGTCTCCATGGCCAGAGAGCCTTCGGATACACCCCGGTGTTCTTCAAAGCGGGTGGAAGTGAAAATGGGTGCAGTTTTGGCTACGTTGACAGAATATGAAATATGTTTCAGCTATGCGATGCCACAAAACATTTAACACGTGTGCTCTCGGTGCCATTTTTTTTTTGCGCAGCAAACCGTTGTTTGCTGCCTCGGTCCAGGATGCCGCACGGTGGATAGAAGTGAACGGGTTCATTTGCTGCAAGGATAATACAGTAAGGCTCTTGAAACGGTCTACCTGAGTCTACTCCGATTTTCAGTTGTGGGTGCCTTTCATACCAGTGGGTGAATTTGACCTGCAACTTGATCATTGAATGACGGGTGGGGGTATGTGAAAAAAATGATTTTCCACAGCTATGTAAGAAATTACCAGAGGGTATGGAACTTTAAACACAGGAAAAATGATATGGAGATGGGTTTTCAAGTGGTGCCTTAAAGCCGATGAGATCCCGTATTTTCATGTATTTTCGGGGGGATTAGAACATTTATGAAATTTTATGAACATCCATTTCCTAGCTATTTGGGGTTGGGATAGGGTGAAGTGACTCAGGAAGCTGGTGGTTCAACCTTCGACGGGAGGCGAGGTGAGCATGACGAAATATTCACGCCAACTAACATGGACAAGGCCATTCATTGGATTTGGAAGGCTAATTACTGTTTGTTTTTCCCATTTTGGTTGGATGGTCTGTCTTTTGTTTTATACAGGATATCTTGGGTCAGGGATGGAATGTTTGTGTACGGAACTCTGCAAGAATGGGCCTATTTCCCAACATGCGTCCCGTTTGAACCAGAATTGCGGAACAAAAATTGGATTGCGGCCATGGGGGCATTCAAATATAGTCAAATCCAGATGCCAAAGATGTGTGTCTCTGGCAACTGGTTCCAATCAGGCAGGATATGGCAGGATTCATTCTGTCAGCACCCCACGAAATGACTGGATCATAGTGACCTACCCTCTGGTAATCTAACATAACTATGGAAAATCACCATTTTCAATGGGTAAATCAAATCCACTAATTATAAATGGCTCATTTTCAATAGCTATCTTGAATTACCATAGGGGCCGTTTGTCAATGGACTTGCCCATCCGTGAATTCTGGTTTAGCAAATCGGGTTGGGAACACATTTGACAGGTCGGGGGGTTGGGAAAGGTTCCGGCTCTGTTTTACCCGCAATCAAAAGTGGCAATTGGACATCTATAAATAGAGGTTTTAATGGGAGAGTCCTCTATAAATGGTAGACATTTCCGCTGCCATCTTTGATTACCAGTGGGTATACCAAATGACTGGGAGGTTTTCAGAATTGGAACATCTGAAACTCGCATAACTTGTGGGAAAAACATGAAAAAAACAGAGCTTTCCTGCAAATGCTCCCTTAAACCTAGACAGTTGACAAGGTGATTTCTCCAGCCACAGCAACGGCTTTTAAGGGCATAGGCATTTGAATAGATACGGGTATCATGTTAATCAATATCAAATCAATATCAATATCAATATCAATGTCAATATCATTTTTCTTCCATTGAACACTATAGTCCTTGGAAGCCTGCACTCAACAGGTAGATTTTGGGCATGGCTTCAGTAAAACATGGGCACCAGGCATGGAAATGGTGCGAGAGCTACGAGACCACAGTTTGAAGGTTCGGCAGCGGGGCCCGGTCTTGGATAAACCATGGGATTTGGTGCCAATGGATTTTGGAAAAAAAATCAGACAAACTCATATATATATATATGTATTTGTTTTTTTTGTTTATGTACATGTAAAATGATGTAGATACTGTGTAGATAGGTATGCACAGAAACAAGAACTATATATTTTAGCTATAAACGATATCCTCCTGTTTCAATGTTTAGACGATCTATTTGCTGGGAATGAATTCTAGGATCAGGTAACCTCATTTTCACATTGAAGATGAATGGCATTGTGATGAGGCTTCCCTAGACCCCACCTAGAAAGATTGGTTCGTTATACCCATGATGTTGGGACTACCATCTTTTACCCATGCGGAACCTGTTTTCAAGTTTTTCAGGCCTTGGAGAGTCTAAGTATATTTACTCCAGGGAGGAGGTCAATGATTGTGCGGCAATACCTCTTTATTTACGCCTTTGTGGAGCAAAATCCCCGAGCAAAATCTGGGATGTTTTTTGACCAAATCTGTCGATATCTGTCGATATACCGTTTCATCCCCCTGCCACTTGTGGTTCAGTCAAATCAGTCTGCTCTGGAAAATCACCATCTTTAATAAGTAAATCAACTGTTTCCATGGGCCATTGATACCATAGCTATGTAACAGATTACCAGAGGCTAATTACTTCCTGGTTGGTGGTTTGGAACATGGCTTTTATTTTTCCATATATTGGGAATGTCATCATCCCAATTGACTTTCATATTCTTCAGAGGGTTGAAACCACCAACCAGTATATATATATAGATGTGTATGTATATACATGTTGATGTTCCATTAGTTAAACTGTGTCGTCTCCATTTGGTCACAGTTCCATCTCTATGTTTGGTGTTTATGACGGGTGTTTCCTTGGCTTCCGATCGTCATATCTCTCTTTCCATGGTTATGTGATTTGCTGACCGGTCTGATGACTAGTTTCTTCACTGATCACATCCCTGCTTCACCCATAGGATCCATGTATGGTATATATGCTAACATTTGGGGTATATTGATGGTAAATGTTACCATATATAGCATACATGGATCCTATGGGTCACATCATTGAAGCATCAAAGATTGTAAGCCATGTTCCATGTAGTTACAAGCGTCTCCGCGCATTCCCAGTAGTTCTGGTTGCGCAAAGCATCATGTTCTAATCCGGATCCAAAAACCATGTATTACTGTATATACTTACCCAAAATGATCTCAAATGAGTTTGAAACCACACAGAAAGATGTGAATTCCAGATTTGAGGTTTTTCACCATCCACTGCAGCCCTGGGACCCACCCTTCCCCACCCTTCACAAGCCACGACCCAGCCAGGTGAAGCGAAAAGTGCAAAGTCACCTGGCGGTGATAAAGTCTGGATGGTAACATGTCAGGGATGTTTTTTTTTTTTGGTTGGCTTTCCTACATGATATACACACAGACATGTAAGGGACTAATGATGAGGAAACAAATGATGTCTACACTAATTTTTGTATGTTGCAACTGTAAACAACAATGTGATGTGGCTTAGTCCAGAAAGGGGTATATAATATACACCATGGCATACCCATTTTATGGCTATATTCATTGGGAAACTGATGATTGACAGCTGGACTTTGAGTCCCTAGGCAATTGGTTCAAACTGGTTGAAACTGTTGGTTCAACGTGGATGACTTTGGTTTGAAATCTTGAGTTATACAATTTGTGGTTTCACCAAGAAACACATCACTGCAGTTGATTTGCGCGGATGGTTCCATTTAAGCCAAGAATTGGATGAAGGGAACATCTACATGGTACAGGAAGCATCCTATGTTGGAGGATAAACTCAACAGTTTCCTGTAGATGTTCCCTTAAACCAATCCATTGACATGTTGCTTGACTGTTGAGTGCCTAGAATGCGATGATCACTTGATACCTTTCACATCTTTCACCAATCATCTTGTTTTTGGTGGAATGCTTCCGCCAGACTGAGACACGTGAACGATCTGGTTTCATCATGTTTCATCCAAAAACGGAACACCACTAAATCAGACTAAAGATATATAAACATATACCCTCTGGTAAATAAACATAGACCTTGAAAATAGCCATTTTTCAATGGAAACTAGTCTTCCAACCCCTATCTGCCAGGGCCTATGTTAATTTTCCAGAGGGTACCATCTGGTTATTTAACATAGCCATGGTATAGATGGCCCATTCATAGATGATTTTCCTATTAATACCTCCATTTATGGTTGGGATTTTCCATGGCTATGTTAGTCATAACCAGAGGGTATACCAATTGTGTTTCATGGTTCATCATTGATTTTCGTCACTATCGCTTAAAGGGATTCCTAGATAAAATTAGTCATTGAAGCTGTTTGCATACTTTCGGGATCCTACATTTTCAATGTTCTAACCCATAGGATCCATGGTGCTGGTATATATGCTAACATAAAGGGGGTATATTGATGGGATCCATGTTACCATATATAGCAGCACCATGGATCCAATGGGTAAAGGAACCCACTTTTTTTCTCGTGGTTTTTGGAGATCTGTCGACCTTAAATCCTAAAGGCCCAGGTCACCCCGTCACCCCCATGGCGGTGTTTTGTTGGATCCCGAGGTCGCGCAGCGCTCCATCAATACGCCCACCTGGCTCCTTCTGTGGACGAAAGGCTTGGCGGTTGAGGGAGGAGAACTTTATATACATCTTTATATATATATATATCAAGTCAGCCCTCCAAAAAAATGAACAGTCATGAAAGCAACAATCATCATCTAGTTTTTAGTGGGATTTTATACGTTTCTAGCTTTTTGTTGAGGGTTACTAGAGCCAGGGAATGGACTGGAATATGAGATGGCAATGGACTGTACTTTTTTAAATAATGTGTATGGGTTCGTATATAGCTATAGAATGATGCTATTGAAATACATCTGGAAATGCAATTCGTTGAACTGCTCATACTCTTGGATGTGTACCCAGACCCTCAAAGTATGTACTTTGAAAAAATGATTAATATATATTAATATACAGTATCATTATTTTGGGACTTTGACCAATTTTCACGAAGTATATCTGGAGTACAGTAATCACAACAACCTCACTGCGATGTCGCTGTAAATTGTTGTCAGGTACCGGGGTTTGCCTATCCCCATTTGGGCCATATGATATTCGGTGAATATTATATATAGTTGATCCAGACAAATGTATAGAACATATTTCATCCAAGGAACCAATCATGAATCATGAGTTGTGTTGTGCAAAAAAACACATCTCGTGACGATTTACCCTCTGGTAAACGTTTACGTAACTATGGAAAGATCCACCATGTTGAATGGGTAATTCCACTATAAATGGGCCATGTTCAATAGCTTTTTGTATGTTTACCAGAGGGTACCAGTTCATGATGTTGTTCAGTCAATCCGGGATGGGGAAATCATCCCAGACCCAAGGTCAGCGTGAAAGAGTCATGGGACCTTTTGCTGTTTGCTTCGCTGGTAAAACATCCCAATGTTCCACAAATCCTAGAGTAGGGAAACTACCTCAGAAACGAGCAGTGACCAAAACCCTTGTTGATTGTTTATCATAGGGATATAAGGGGTCACACTGCCCAGTTTATTCGGGGCTATCACAACCCATGATGGGCAGCCCGCTATATATCAACCAGTATAAACGAATGACAGAGGGCTTTGACCACTGCTCAAATCCCTTCTCCCTATGAACTATTATCAAACATCATAAACCATATTGTGTGTTAATTATTTACACCTGTTCAGGACCTTTTTCGAACCATACCATGGGGATATCTAATATTACGGGAATGGGACTACATCCATTTCCTTGGTGGATACCCTCCAGTAAACCAACATAACTGAAAATCAGGATTTGTCTTAGGTAAATCATGGTAAATCACCTACCTGGTTGGTGGTTTGGAACATGATTTTTATGACTTTCCAGATATTGGGAATCATCATCCCAACTGACGAAGCCATATTTTTCAGATGGGTAGGTCAACCACCAACCAGCTACAAATGGGACATGTTTTCCCAAACTGTTGATTTCCCGGGTAGGTGCCAGACTCCGCCAGACTCCTGCCAGCTGCCAGGTTAGGCGCCCCGGATCGCATTCCCGTGCCACTGCCAGGCACTTCCCAGTGACCAGTTTACCTCTGAAGTTTACTGCTGATCTAATCAGTGTGGATGTTTCTGTTTCTGTTTCAGCTATGTTTGTTTAACCATTTGATATGGGTCGTTCAGCAACTTTGGTTTCACTTTTCACTATTTGATATGGGTGATTCGCCAACTTATAGTTTATTTTACCATTTGCTATGGTGACGGTGTATATACATTGATGAATTATTGATGTTTGATGATTTTCTATAGCTGCTTTGGGATTATGAATTGAGCTCTGGGATCCCCGTTGTGAAAAAACGAAAGTGATGGAACACTTCCCATGATCCGGCGATTGGAACCTTAACAAATGCCAGGGATTTATACATTTCCTTGAATTTCTTCGATTTACCCAACGAGTGGATTTTTTTGAGTTTCCAAGTTGCAGCCAGACCCTTCAATGGTCAAATCCTGATACACCCATTCGTCACCAGAAGTATTTTTAAGGGCAACAAATACGGGATTTCCCTACATCTTTGGGTATAAATACCATGTGTTCCTTTCAAATGTTCCTGTAAATCCATTTGAATGTAATATTTGTTGATTAGATCTCCCATGTTGATGCTTTTGAATCAAACAACTAAGTGGTACATCATCTACAGTAATTGGATAAATTATAACGACTTCACCGGAAACCATGGTACAAGGTAGGCTGGAGATGAATTGAACTATCACTGAGATCATAGAGCTGTGTCAAAAACATTAAAAAAGGGGGATGTGATTAAAGAAACAATTACAATTTGGGGATCTGGTTGGTGGTTTCAAACATTTTTAATTGTCCATTTCATATATGGGATGTCATCCGAAACCCGTTGACAAACATATTTTTCAAGATGGGTAAGTCACCACCAACCAGGGTAAGTCTGGAATCCAAAGCGATGGATTCATAGGTCTTGCCGTCTCCAAGTCGTCACCTCAACTGCCTTCGGTTGGATCTCCCACGAAGTTTGAGCCGTGACCCCAGGGCGCCACAGATGTCTCCAGTTTCCATGGCGATTTCCATGGTGATTTCCATGGGAGTTCATGGGGATATCACCAGAGAATTGGAACACTATGTACCCTCTGGTTATTTACCATAACTATGGAAGACATGGCACCATTTACAGATGATTTTGCTAGAAACCTCTATGTTTTTTCGTGGATAAATACCATGGCTATGTTAAATAGCCAGATATATATATATATATATTATATACATATATACCTGGAACCCAGTTTTGACCCCTCTCTTGGATGGTTAACCTTCAATTTTATGGGTCAAAACCTTGACATACCTTGGGTCAAAACTGGGTTCCAGAGGACTGTGGCTTACATAGCCTGGAGGTGGAGGACTGTGGATGTTTTTTCACGAGTTATCAAAGGAACTTCGAAAACTGGGGGTATCATTGAGTCATGGTTGGCTGTACATATATATATAATGTGTGTATTGTTTCTTTTGGCATTTACATTAATTTGAAACTCGAGCGGTAATGTGGCAAGCCCAATGCCATCAACCATCAAAAAAAGTATCCCAAAACAAGGTTGGTGATTGGTTTTTTACAACAAATGGGTCAACCTGGGGTACCTTATATAAAATGCCAGCAAATTACATGATCTAAGCACCCAAAATGGAGAGTTCGCAAACTAAATATATGGTCCTGTAACAAACATGTGTTTACATATACACCTAGACCCTCGAAGTACTTAGGAAAATGGAACAATATATTCACTATGTTGTTTTTGTGACCAATTTTCATGGGGACTTCTGTCGGGTCTAAGTACATCAACAAATACCAAGTAGTTCAAAACATAACATTTTCCTGATTGCTCATCTGATTGCTATACACAAGCATGTTTTTTTGTTTTCATTACAACCCCAAGCTATACTGATTCTTTGATACGGATTCCTTTGATTGTGATATTCCCCATGATGTTTCGTATAATCCCCGAACTAATCATCAACCAGGACCCATAGGATCCATGTATGGTATATATGCTAACATTGGGGATATATTGATGGTAAATGTTACCATATATAGCATACATGGATCCTATGGGGGATATTCTTTACGGGACGTGTTTTTTTTCCGTAAACGTCGACTCGAAAACACGCCGCGTCACCTTCAGGTTGCCCATCTCTCCGAAGATTTCCAAGTGGCGCTGAGGTGTCAGCGGTTGATGCTTATAGCAACACCGAGCCCCAAAACGATACAGAAAAAAATAAATAAATCACTATTCTAGGATTGGATTTTACTAAGACATAATATATATATATACATATATATATACACATATATATATATATATTGTTTGGTTGCTCAAGACTTATGGTTCTTGACCTGTGAAACTGATCGAAGATGTTTTAGATGTTTTGCTTGGCCAAAGTCTTCAGCACCAGGAAGCGGCCCACTGTAGAAAGGCTCTGAGAGGCGCCTGAGACAAGGAATGCAAATTGGGTTTGACCTTGGACCTTGGATGGGTCAAAGATGTTAAAAGTCCCAAAATCATGGGAGTCTAGGTGTACTGAGTTAGAGGAGGGTCTAGGTGTACTCCATGAGGTACTTAGAGTTAGAGGAGGGTCTAGGTGTACTGAATCAGCGGACTGGCCAACTTGAACCAAACGATGTATTCAACCATCCAATTGAACAATGACACAGTCGCCTTGCTTGGGGATATCGATTGATGTGTCACTTGAGAACGGAAGTATCAAACTTCCGTCCTCCAATGCCATGATCACAGCAGACACTTGGCGTAGCTCCACTGGGGTAGCCATGGACCCATCAAATTACTCCACTGTGCAAATGGATGGCAAAAAAAATTGCAGATGGCATCTCCACCCGCAGTAGCCCCCAAAAATAGCGGTGCTCTTCGGGGTGGCGCCATTGGCCAAACATAGCGATTTTACGCCATCTATTTTCAGGGCGGTGTGGAAATACTCACAAGTCCTTTCACATGTGGGGAGAACATACCCTCTGGTAAACTAACATAGCTATTGAAAATGGTCATTTATAGTGGATTTACCCATTAAAAATGGTGATTTTCCATGGCTATGTTAGTTTACCGGAGGGTAAGTGTTTTTTTCAGCCAGGCCCATTCGTCACTCTATAGTTCAAGATGGTCAAATCTTCCCAGCAGTGTCTCACAGACTGTACAGAGCGACACGATGTGACGATGTGACTCTGATTGCTTTCGAGTTTCACTGAAGACATGCAGCACATCTTCTTATCCGTGTGAAATGTCAAGATAGATGCAACCATATTTCATAATGAATGGACACTTAAGATTGACAAAAAGAATACAAAGCGTGGACCCTGGTTGGACACATCAACGTTGCACGCTGCATGTTGCACGTCTGGCAGAGACTCCGCCCTTCGAATTTGGCTGTGACAGAAAGTCAATTGAGCTGGTTGGCTGGCTTAGGTAATTATATATGCGACAGATAAAGCATGTAAAAAAAACCTATCTAGAAACCAGTTATTTTCATTGGATTATCATTCCATAAATGGGGTGACTCACTGATTTATGACTGCTATTTCGGGCCAATGATTGTACTTGGATCTAAGTGATTTCTTTGTTCAGAGGCTAAGTACTTCTTGGTGGTTTGGAACATGAATTTTATATTTCCATATATTTGGGATCTTCATCATCCCAACTGACGAAGTCATATTTTTCAGATGGGTAGGTCAACCACCAACCAGATATAGTATCAACTATGATTGGGGAATACTATATAAATTATATCATCATATATAGTTCATATCGTACTATATAACCATAACCAAGCAGTAATGGTTACTGATGTTATCTAATGATTAATGGTACTAATGGTTACTTATGGTTACTAATAGTAATGGTTACTTATGGTTACCATTGGTATCTCTCTCTGAGACCTGGAATCCTGTACGCTTCACAAACGTCGCCAAAACGGCCCCGCGGCTTTTGGCCTTCGCAGCTGCCGCTCGCTGTGCGCCGGCAGGCGATCAGGGCCTTCACCGGGATCCCCGGTGAAGTGTTGAGGTTTATATTATTATAACCCATAGGATCCATGGTGCTGGTATATATGCTAACATTGGGGGTATATTGATGGTAAATGTTACCATATATAGCATACAGTACATGGGTCCGATGGGTAATGATGATTAGTTTATATAACCACCTTTTTTAATAGGTAAACCCACTGTAAATGGGTCATTTATTCACTAATAAATGGGATATGATCCACTAATGGGCATTAATGAGAATAATGGGAAATTATACTACCCAATATATTGTCTGGTTGGTGGTTTGGAACATGAATTTTATTTTACCCAATAGTTGAGATGATGATCCCATCTGACTTTCATATTTTTCGGGGTAGGTATACCACCAATTAGTAGATGATTACTGTAGTTTAAATAACCACAGGGTGGTGTCCCATGGCTAAGTTGCTTCATAAGTAGGTTCAACTGGATGTTGATGGTAGATAGACCTATAGTTCATGGATGTTAATGGGTTTACAAACCAGCTTGTAAGTGGGGGGGGGCACCACCTTGCATGATTAGCCATGCAGTTATGCCCAGTGTGTACTGTATACATGTTCTTTGGAAAAAGAGTATAGTAGTATGTGGTAGTATACATCAAAACATCTGCGTTTGATCACTGCAATCACTACAAGTGCCTTTTGTTGTCAATTTGTTGTCTATATATTGGAAATGTGTGAAGGCCGCATGAAGACTGGGCATGGTTACAGGTGTTCATCATCGGAAAACCCTGCATGTTTGGTGAGGAATAGCTAGAATGTTTGTGACTCAAAGAAGATAATGGAGTGTAGACATCTAGTGACACCTCTGCAACAAATAAACAATGTGTGATGTATACATAAATATATATATAATCATATTTAATCATAAATTTAATCATGGTTAATCATATTTAATAATATTTAATCATATTTATATAGTCTATGATTGAAGATTTTTCCAGATTATGTTAGTGTCCTATATTGGTTCTTATATCATGTTAGTCCTGTCCTTGTTTCATAGATTTGAATGATGGGAAAATTTACAGGAAACCCCTATATTTGATGGTAAAAACTATGGTTTCCTGTAGATTTTCCCTTAAACCAATCCATTGATCGTTTGATCAGAAAATCGTATCTTCCTTGGCGTCAGATTGGCTCAAGACCCTCCCGTGCGCCCGTGAAACTGCGCCGGTTCCGACCGTTTCTTGGCTCAGGAATTCGCCGGCCTTGCTGCTTAACGGTTAAGGAGCTACCATTCTATATATGGGGGGTTTCCATAAATAGGGAGATTCCCAATAGCTGGTTGGTTTATGAATCATGGAACATCCGTCTATAAATGGATGAGAACTCGGGGTACCCCTATTTCTGGAAACCTCCGTATATATATATATACACTGTATATATAGTACACTATAATACATTCCATTTGCATGTATGAGGACTTTCTGAGTCTGACGTTTTTTTTTGGAGTAAGGCCACAACTGATTGAGTTCGTGATTAATGTGACCGACTTGAGGGTCTGACTGTGGTCACGTGTTTGTCTCATACTGTTGCAACATGCTAGTGATGATTAGAAGGATTCGTGACAATGGATGATGATATATGATGATCAATGCTGGTGAGCATCAGGATGACAATGACGATAATGTACATAAAACGAATGCACATGTTTGGGTGTCTTTGTGTGTACATAATGTATACGCGTAGTACAAACAGACGCATTTTTACATATTTACCCTCTGGTAATTTAACATAGCTATGGAAAATCACCATTTTTAGATTTTTAGTAGGTAAACCATCTATTTTCATGGGCCATTGATACCATAGCAAACTGTTAGCTTACCAGAGGGTACACGCGTAGGTTTGCGGCAAAGCTCTAGATTCTGCAATTCTCAACATCTGCCAGGTAATGCGTTTTGACGGTGCCTTTCAGTAAGCAGGCTTGGTGGCTGTCACTGTTGCTGGGCCACCTTCAAATGTAGGTGATCAGCTTTAGTTCTTGGTACACTCATCTCATTGTAATTAGCTGGGGTTATTGATGGATAAAGCTGGATAAAGTAGGCATAGATATGATCACAGAAATTGGAAGAGACATGCCGACCAGCCACAGCATGCATCATGACATAGGAAACACCAAGGCATCAAGATTGGCAGGTTGTACCATCAAATGAACATAGACCCATCAGTTGTTGGTTGAAAGATTTGTTTTCAGTTTCTACTGTATTAAAAAAAAACGAACTATTTTCCTACTTATTAATTTTGGTTTTGTATCCCATTATATCCACATTATATATAATAAAATAATTCATTATATTGGATATATCATATATATTGTGGATATATAATATATATTTGATATATAATATATATTGGATAATAAATATATATATATATAATCTGGATATATTTTATTTCTGGGTGTTTCTCAACCGTTTTTCTGGGTTTCAACTCGCGGCCGCGTCGGACCGCAGGATGCCAACGAGTGACAAAACTCTGATTTGTCGCTCAGACGCAGCCAGGTTTGATTCGTATGGGCACTTAAATGTGTTTAACGATGCGGCATTTTACGATGGTATTCACTCATTTGTGTGTATGAATTATATGTTTTTTACTATATACATTATATACCCTGGGTGTATCCAGTATGATTCATATCCACAACGTATCCGTCTGTTGAAGCGACCATGATTTCTGGGTATGAATGAGTTGACAGATAGTTCACCATCATCTCATCCGGAGGAGTCAGTTCAATATTCATAAATTATCATCATTATATTTGTCTTCAGTTTCTTCATCGTCATCATAATCATCATCATCATCATCATGATCATCACGCTCCATGTCTGCCGAAATACAAGGTGGATCTCCTAGATAGCTAAGTTAATTTATAACTAGATCAACTAGGGTTTATGGGGAATATAGCATAATATAACGATAGTTAATGTGATGAAACTATACCAGGTTATAACTGGGTGGGGTGGGGGCACAACCTTGTATACATACTTACAACAATAGCAAGACCGGTAATATCAGTAACAACGATGACACTATTAACTGATAAGAAACGTGCATGACAAGAACAATAGATAGCATAGTGTTTACACCCATATGTTCCTTGGCAGATTAACATATCAATCTATGAGCCAGTCCATAGATCATCCCAC